GAACGCACGACCAGGCCATAAGGTCGTAAGGTCGGGCGTTAAGCGGATCGAATATTGCGAGACCGGGTTTAAAGGCCAGGGGGTCGAGTGATTGAGATCAGTGTGTGCAAGGTCGGGCCGCAAGGCCGCGAGGTCGAGAATTAAGGGTCAACACTTACGCGGTTAAAGATAAAAGTACGAAAAGAAAGAACGAGCGACGCAAGATAGAACCAAAAAATAAATTTCATTAATTGACAAAAGTTGCCCGGTACAATTCGGGACCGGGCTCCCGATCAATGGGCCTTTACAAAAAAAGAAGAAAGGAGCCTATTCTACTTCTTCGTCTCCCGAGCTCCGGCGGCCGGTTCTTTTCCGCTCGGTGTGGCCGCCGTTGACGCTCCAGGCTCGGCCGCCTTGGCTTTTGGGGCGAAGGGAGAGGGACCGGGATCGGCTAGGTCTGGGGGCAAGACTGAGAGGACCAGTTGAAGGTCTTCCCCGTCTAGGGCCTGCTCCAACCGGGAACGGACTCGTTCGAGCATCTTCCGTTTCCCGGCCGTAAAGCCCCAGCGGCCGAATGAGACGATCAGCTCTCCCCGATCTCTGTTCCCCGGGCTGCTGTAAGGAAGGCCGACCCCGAGTCCTTGTCCTTGAAGGCCGCCCGCGCCAGCTCGCTCGGATTCTCGAGCTGGGCCTTCAGCTCCTTGGCCTCTCCAATCGCCCGACTGGCGACCTTCTCGGCGAGGACCCGCTCCTCGTCACCCTTCTTCAGGGCCTTCTGCGTCTTCTCCAGCTCGGCCTGGAGCTCCTTGATCTCCTTCAGACGACGAGCGGCCGTCTTCTTATGATGATCAGCTTCCTCGGCCAGCATAGCTTGACCTTGAAGAAGCTGGGTCGCCCGGGAGATCTGCAGTACAAAAGGATATCCAGGGTTAGCCCGGTCAAAGATACTTGGACAAAGAAAGGTTATAAGTTGGGAAACTCACCTCGGCCAGGTCGTGGCCGATCCGTTCAGCCACCTGGGTCGGGGTCATCTTCCCCAGATCCACTCGGGCAGGCGCGGCGTTGCCGATCCGTGCCAGCACGGACGTAGACTCCCTCTCTCGCCCGACCGAAGGGCTCGGGCTGTGCTGCTCACGGCGCCGCTTCAGGCTGCCCACCTCGGTCGCGCCATGGTCGGCGACCTTCTCCTTGCCCCGGGCGACCTCCACCCGGGTGACCAAGACGTCGGGCTGCTCGACGATGAAGCCCTCGCCCGTCGACACGGTCGAGACACTTAGGGGTCGGGCAGTGGGAATCTCCTTTTCCCCGGCTGCCTTGGTCTTGGCCTTCTTCTTCCCGCCGAGGGAGATCTTCGTGGGCGGGGGAAGGGCGGTGTCTTCATCGCCGAATTCTGCCATGCCTGCAATAGAAGAGCAAAGTTAGTTTGATCAAAAAAAATGAAGCTAGGTCGGGAAGAACGGCTCGAGATGAACCTTTCTTCTTTCGTTTCGACGGCTTCGCGACCGTCACGCCCATCGGCACGGGCAGATACTTCTCCGGCAGCTCGTACGTGGGGGGCGGGAGCTTGGCGACTGCGAGACTTTCAGCCGTCCGGAAGATTGTGTATTCGTGCACCTCGCTCGAAATCCGGCTGACCGTGTCCCTCAGCGCTTGCGTCTCGACCGGCACCACTTGCTTTCTGAAGTGGCTGCTCCAAGCACGGTCGACCGGGAGGATCCAGGGGTCGTATTTGATGGAGAAAATTCTGTTCTTCCACCCCTTGTTGTTCCCGGGCAGGCCTTTGATGGAGCACATATCTGCTCGGGACTGCAGCATCAGGAACCCACCCCCGTAGCGGCCCGGGAGAACCTTGATCTGGTAGATGAAGTTGAACAACTCCATCGTGCACTCGGCCTCGTGCCGAGCACATATCTGCGGGAAGCAGGCGAGGATCCGATGTGCGTTCGGGCAGATCTGGGCCGGGGCGACCCGGTAATAAGCCAAGAAGGCGTTCAGGAGGGGGGCGAAGGGAATAGCGATCGGGGCCATCAGGGAGTCGTAGTGCATCCCGATCCACTTGCCCCGATGCCTGTCAATCACGTTTCCCAGCTGCCGGCTCGTGTCGAATTCTACCCGACCCCGGAGTATTTCAGCAATCCGAGCCGCTTCGCCTTTGGTCAGCAGGCTCATCTCTTGCTCGACACTCTCGCTGTTCAAGAATTCGAGCTCGACGGCTGGTGTGGCCGGCCCGGCCGGGTCTTCTTCGGTCTGCTCGGGGGTATTTTCTCGGTCGCCCCCTCGAGGAGCAGCTTCCGGGTGGTCCCCAACCACCCGGGTGGGCGTTTCCCTAACGCCCTCGGTCGGAGAACCCCGCCCGCTTGGCGTGGTTCTCTCTTCCTCTTCTTCGCTGGAGCTCCCCGACCCGCTGGAGCTAGAGCTCGACGTCCCGGAGGAGCTTGAGGTGCTGTTATGCTCGACAGCTCGATCGGGGGCTGGCGTTGCTTGGGGGCTGGCTTCGGGAGTGTAGGACATAATGTCCACTTCCTCGTCGCTGATACGCTCGACCTCCTCATCGTAGTCCGCGATCGAGGCGTTTTGACTATCCGAGTCCGTCATATTTCGATCTACCTAACGGTCGGTCGGGGTTAGTAAAGGACTTGAGTCGTCCGGGACAGTTAGTTGACCTAGCAGTTCTACCTATAGTTGAAAGCGTGAAATAAAGAGAAGGATGGAGAGCTTACCGGACGAAGGAACTTTGCGAGAGAAAGCTTGAAGTTTGTTGTTCGATTGCCTTGCTGAGATGTTCTGCTCGGGATTCTTAGAGGATACCGACTGAAGCCAAAGAGTGAGGAAAGTTCAAATGAGGGCCTCAAGGGCCTATTTATAGGAGGGCATTTAGGCGGGAAATGGGCCAACTTGCCTGACACGACCCGCGCTGAATCCGAGGCGACGGATGGGATCGCCGAGGCCGGCAGAGGCCGACACGTGGCGTAGGAGAGAATGACAGCTGGCCGGTCGGTCTAATGCCTGACGGTTGGGCTTCTTCATCCCGTCCCGTTTTTTCCCGACTGATCAAAAAGGCCCGGGCTGGGGGGCTCTTGGTAGGGAATATCCCGACCGACATAACTTCACCACGACCGAGGAGTCTTTGTCTCTTTCTTCTTGTCTTTGCAGGTAACAGGTCGGGCTCCACGAGAAGAACCCGGTCGTAGACCGACCGGAGTTGCCCGAGCGACGGTGTCGACCACCGAGCGGTGGCCCTTGGACGAAAGAGCTGACGAAGGACACGTGGCGGCTCTTTACATCGACAGGCAGGGCACCCGGGAGGATGACACGTGGTGGTTACGTGGAGGACATGCCGAACGGCTGAAATCCTGTCCCCGGCCTAGCGGCTATAAATACCCACAGTAGCTACAATGTAGAGGACTTTTGGACAATCGATAGGTTGTTGTTAGAGAATCCCGACCGCAGTCAGTCGGTACTCAGAGCAGCCAAGTAGATTGTACTTAGGGCCTTTACCGGGATCAATAAAGGTTTTACTTGCTTTAATTGATCTCGTGTTATTTTATATTGCTTACCTAGAATTAGCAGTATCAGTTATTTTATATTATATAAACGTCAATTTGTGCATCATGTTTAATAACATTCTTCTACTATGTTCACAATATTTGTCATATATGTTCAAGAAACTGAATTATTTTCTTTTGAACAAAGATATATTCCGTTTGTCATATATGTTCAAGAAACTGAATTATTTTCTTTTGAACAAAGATATATTCCGTTGCCGGGAATCAAACCCAGGTCTCCTGGGTGAAAGCCAGATATCCTAACCGCTGGACGACAACGGAATCGCCATTTAAAATTATTAAACTGATTTTTAATTTCTTTACTTATACAATTCTTAGTTATCGTCATTTTCACCTCAATTATTTTCTCATGTTAGTTATTTACCGAATCATTATTGTGTAGACCATATTTTGTCTAGTGTAAAATATTGTACATTCAATACAAAAATAATGTACATTTAGTACAAAAATAATGTACATTGTATTCAAAGGATGTACATTATTTTTGTTCTGAGTGTACATTATATTGTATAATGTACATTCAGTACAAAAATAATGTACATTTAGTATATTAAAAATGTATTTTTTGTTATGATCCACATAACATTGTATGGACCATGGTCCGCATAACATTGTATGGACCATGGTCCACACAATAATTTGCCTTATTTAATAAGAGAGAACGTTTACTTAATAAATCTTCCTTTCATAAGTTATTTTAAAAATTTACATTTTAATGTTATTTTTTTACATGATTATAAAACTTTTTATATTTATTAATTATCAATAAATTAGTCAACTTGGCCATGAATAGAAAAGAATTCAACTAATTAATAATCAAATAAAAAAAATCAAAAAACATTTAATATTAGCAAACTAATCTCTACTGGTTAATTGATGGCCATATTAGTTGTATATAAATTGTTCAATGAAATTGTTGGGAGCATAGAGTCAAAGGCCAAAGGAGAACAAGAGGGGCACAAAGAGGACATCATCATATTTCATATAATAGTTTCTACGAGATTGTATTTCGTTTATACTACTTGATGAAAAATAATAACACTCGTAACTCATCATCTCATTTTATATTTTATTATATATCAGTTCGATCCCTATTTTACCTTTAAATTATCACTTTAGTAATGGGGACTAGTTCCAAAAACCATACAACCTAAAGAAATTCTAAAATTATATATTCCTAAAGATACATTTATGTAGTATATACACTGTAGAAGTTTAGAACATTCAAAACATGCATTTTTTTATAATACTACAAGATTCATATATATTGACTATATATCAAATTCACACAAAAATTTTGAGTTTTAATTATTCATATAATCATATTCAGACCATATACTACATTGTAACAGAGTCAGTATTACTCAAAAAAATATATATATATATTCATACTCAGATAACATTAAAATAAAAATTCAGCTTCTATAGAAAAAATATAATTTCTTAAATTAAAAATTAAAAAAATAATAATAATGAGTGTGGTTCAATCTCCTTGATGAGCAGACTCCCAGAGGGCCAGAGCCTTGACAACATAAGCGGAGGCAGCCACGACGACCGCCGCGAAGATCGGCGGCACGACCAGGTCCATCTTCGACTTCCTGAAGAGCTGCGCCGGAAAACAGAACACCTCGGACGGAACGTCCAACGGAATCCTGACGGACGACGAGGAGGCGCACGGCGCGGAGAAGGAGGAAGCCGGAGTAATAGCGGAGACGAAAGCCAGCTCCGGCGTGAAGGAGGCGAGCGCCACCGTGACGGTCAAGACGGTGGTCCACGACGCGGCGTAGAACAGCAAAGGCAACCTGGGAACGGAGAACAGCCTCTGCAACATGGAGTTGATGAACAAAGCGAAACTCATAGTAATAAATTGAATCGGTTTCAAATTTCAATTCCTTAAATGAACAATAAGTGCGGCATATGAATGATGTTGTATTTATGTGTGGTGGAGATTGACCTAAATTTCAACCACTTGGAGACTAGAAAGTGTAGGGATGATAATTGGGTGACTAACTCCATGGATGTCAAACCTAGCTAGCTAATTAAGAGCCAATTAAGTTTTTGGTGGTTTGGTAGACAGCACTGAGAGGGCTTCAACTAAGTGGAGCCATTATTAGGTATTCGTGGCATCACGCAAGTTTTGACAATACATATTCTTTGTTGACTTCATGCATGTCTTTTTGGGATTTATTTATTTATTATTATTAATTTCCATCTTCATCCACCCATTTAATTATTTTATTGCCAATTTTTTCAACGAAGAGTACTCAACAAAATAGTATAAGTTTAAACATATTTTTATTTAAATTAAAATTATGATAATTGGTACTCCGTATTTAATATTTAACCTTTTATTACTGGTTTGGTGCACCAAATTTATTTATTAGTATAATATCTTTAATTATAAATTAATTAATATTTATACAAGAAAAACGCATTTACAAATATACTCATGTATTTTTTTTTAATATTTATAATTTCAGCCACTACATATCGTTTCTTATATTTTTGTAATTATAGCTTCTCATTTTCCGATCCGTTCTTGAGTCAATCACTAACATTAAATAATTAGTTTTTCATTATTTCCTAACCACTAATTGCTAATTGTCAAAGGATCGCGTTCAAGTGAGAATTGCCTGCCCAGGAGAGAACTGTGAACCTTTCAACGCGCGGCCGCGCGCCACGTGTCCAAATCAACGAATCAGATGTAATTTTAAAAAAATGACGTGACGGTATTTTCATAAATAACTCAAACTTTGGTGCATGTAAATGTGTTATATGTGCAAGTAGTTGATGCACCTTTGTAAGTACAAAGTGTAGGTAAAATTACTTACAAGTGTACATACTTTCACCTACAAGTGCATGTAATTTTGTCTTGTTAACATTTATTGATTTGAGTTCGTTCTGTTTGGCATCGCTTTTGTTCTTGCGGGGGGAGTTCAGCGGGTAGTTAGTAACTGTGAAAATCACCCGCAAGATGGCTTTAGGGAGGGGTTGGCGGGATAGGTGCACATAGTTATAACGGCCAGGTGCACTTAGTTTTGATGCTCAGTATAAATTTTACTTGCACATGTAATACATTTTACCTGCACTTGTAATACCTTTTACATGCACTAAGGTGCATTATATGAACTATGTTACTTGCACTTCGATTTAATTATTTATAAAAATACCACTGCATTTCTTAAAACAATCAGTGTTTCTCATCCCTTATATCTGGAACACGTAGCGCACGCTTAACGATTCTCAGTTCTTTCTTAAACGGCCGTTCACATGAGAGTGCGCCCCTAAACACACATCTGTTTGAAAGGGATGGAATAAAATCTTTAAGAAAAATAAATGTTTCAAGTATTAATTGAGAAAGTTGAGTTAAAAGTTAAAACGGTTACGTTCAGAAAATCAAGATGGAGAGGGTAGAGGTTTGAAGCTCAATAAATCTTTTTGGAAATTAATTAATATAATTAGTTTATTAATTATTTTAAATTATTTGACTACTATTAGCCGTTTAACTTGATTAAATATTCAAAAGTGTTTGATTAATTAACTTTTTTAACAACTTATTACTTCAAAATGCTAAAATTCAAAAAGCTAGTCAAAACAAATATTTTGATTAGCTTTTTTAAAAGATCATTTTACATGTAATCCAACTATCAACTAATAGCTAATTTATCAAATCTTTATACAATCAACAATTAATGCATTAACCTTTAGCAAACACTGCCTAAAAAACTTGTACTGTGAAAGAGATAAGACTACGGCAACAAGAATCCATTTCGTTATGGTTTATTTTTCATGTTCACTTGTCACTGCCAAAGTCAATTTCTAAGCATCATCTCTCACCTGTGTAGATTTGCTTATAGTCGCATTTTCTGACATCTAACCACTTAACCACAATCAAGCTATAATACAAAATAGTCTCCATTACAGATTAAGAACCATCCAAATCACTTTATATTACCAAAACTCTATAAATAATAAATCTGGGATTAAAGAATCAAACAACTCAAGATTTTGTTCAGGAAGGAAGTATCATTCCATGGTGCTTAATGAAAAATACTCTGGCATCTAAATCCTCGAGAAAGGTCTCACCTTTCACCTCGGCTCCTAGAGGAAGACCAAGTACCGGGCTTAGAGCTTCCAAACGCAGGTCTACGATCACGATCATCACGCCACCTATCAGGTGCTCTGTCATCTGGCCTGCTGCCACCCCATCTCTCAGACGCCCGGTCATCTGACCTACCGCTGTTAATACCCCTCCTCTCGCTTTCTGGAGGGGGTGCCTGGCCTGCGCCTTCCGTTGCCGTCCGTCTGAACCTAGGCACATACTTGTTAGTAGCTGCAGGTGCAGCTGCAGCAGCAGCAGCAGCGGGAGAGGTGGGGCCAGCAGTAGCACCCGCCTCGGTCGGATGTGATACAGTCAAAGGTACAGTTGGCCCAGCAGCTGGAACAACCTTGGATTTTCCCAAGACCTCTTCTCTTCTTTTCCTTTCTTTCTCATCCAGCTCCAACTCTCGTTGCCTCTGCTTTTCTGCAATCTCATCCAATTTGGCCTTGCGTTCAGCTTCCTCTCTCTTGCGCCTCTCCGCTTCTGCCAAGTTCCACAAAGATCATCTCTATTAGAGATAGCCATAAGAAGAAAATGGAAATAAAAGAAACAGCTTGAAGCACGTCACAAATGCAGTGCATTTAGCATAATGTTAAACTAGAAAAATTCATCCAAATTAAGTTCAAAGATGGCAGGCTCTGAGACACCTGTAGTGTGCCAGATCTTAACCCAAAGTCAGATTTCTGACTAAAAGAGTACCTTCAAGCTTCCGAGCTTCCTCCTCTTCATGCAACTTTTTGAGGCGCTCCTCCTCAGATCTCAAAAAGAAAATCATCTTTCTACTAGCCTCCCTCTGCTGCTTCCCCGTCTCGATAATCTGGTTCATTCTTTCCTGTCTCTCCTTCCTCAGTCTGTTGAATTCAGACTCCCTGTGACTGACAACTCTAGCCTCAAAAATTTTCTGCAAAAAAAAAAAAGGTTAATAAAGCTTGCTCAGAATATAACCTGCACAGATGGCATGTCAAGAATATACTGCAAATGCTTATCCATTTGTCTATTGCAGCGTCAGTAAATTCAGATGAAGATACACACCTTATTTTCCAACATCCGACTCAGCCTCCTCTTCAATTCAAGATCACCATCATGTCGTAGTTTGCTTAGTTCCACCTCTTGCTGCAAAATACAAAGTGGAACCAGAGTACTTATGAATAAAAGTCCAAAAGGAACATCAGAACAAGAGTATTATATCATCCTTCCTATCAAAAATTTGATTTCAAAGGTTGATGGTTGTTCAAAATGAACATATGATTATTCCTATGCAAACCTGTTGCTCCCGTTCATGAAGAGCAGCCTCCTCAGCTAAATGCTGTTGATACGCAGCTTCTATAAGAGGAGCATTCTCTTCTCTTTTAGCTCTCTCCAAATGATCCATAGTTTTGGCAAACTTCAGAAGTTTTTTCTCCATTTCTTGTTTCTCCCTGAGTTGCTCACTCAGGGCCATTTCCATCACAGTCTGTTTAGTTATTTTTTCCTAGAACAAAATAAACCAATTCAGATTTCCCTCCAGTGAAAAGAAAATAACAGGAAAAAAAAAAAAAAAAGGACCGGATTTTGTACGCACCCCCTCCGGAAGTACTTTCTTCCCCTTCTTCTTAGCACCTTTTTGAGTTTCTTCCAACAAAGCTTGGGCCTCTTCAAGTTCCCTCTCCTCAATTTCCCTCAGGATCCTCTGATTTTTTCTCTGCTCAAACTCAGCTGCAAGCCTTTTCTGCTCAGCTTCTTCAGCTATCTTTTGTAGTTTTAACCTCTTTGATTCTTCCTCACGTTCCTTTAAAGTAATGGAAACAACAGTTTGTATAACGAAAGTATAATTATGAAATTTAGAGCTAAATTCAAAACAATCAAACAGAATATACCTTTTCCAATAGTAAACGCTCTTGCTCTTCCTTGCGTTTTTCAATTAAGGACTTTCGTGCAAGAAGTCTCTTATGCTCCTTCTCAACAACCTCTGTCAAACCCGAGAGTGCTTCCCCAAGTTTTGCTGCTTTATTCATGGGAGGATAAATCATTATTCTCACCTTGCTTAGGGACTCGGTCAGAGTGGATAAGTGATTCCGAAGTCCTTCGGATTCAATATTCTGGATATAAAAATAGAGGCATATATATCACCAATACCCTTTCCTCAGGAAAAACGTATTATATAATTTATTCAAAAAATGACCAGATAATATATAGGTTTATACCAAAAATAATGACCAGCACTTAAGTATGACAAAAGCCACAGCAATAGGAATTACTGGTAGAAAGAGAAAAGTATACCTGCTTTCCAAAAAATACAGCACCCTTCATATGATCAGCTTTCATGGCTATGAAGTTGTGTTTAACAGCTTCCACAGAAATCTTCTCAACAACAACAAAGTCGAAGAAAGGGATCATTTTAGATAGGCTATCAATCTGTATTGTTTGATACACCTGAGATACCTGAAGTTACAAAAGCAAGGAAACGAGCAGTTTTAGTTTCCCAAATACACAAGCCAAAACGCTTACAATGGAGTGCCCTACAGATAACAGAGGGTGTGCACCTGCTGCAGCAACCTTAAAGTTGCAAGCTTTTCCAAGGAAGGAACATACTGGGACAACTGCAGTTCTGGGACAGATGAAGCTGAGGACACCTTACCTCCAAGTTTGGAGATTTTGCTCAACAAAGGTTGTACTTTCATTGCAAGATCCAGAGGAAGAAACTCATATTCTAATATATGGTAAAGATCTTTCACCTCTTGTGTGACACATGTCATTACACCTTTGGACACCTACAGAAAATAACCAGAACCATAGAAAAAAATTTTAAAAAAAAAAAAAAACCATAAAATTCAGTGTTTTAACATATGATACTGAATTTTTCCTTCAGATATATTGCCTCACACAATTAATAAGACCTATGGCGTATGTCCAAATTATTTTTTTAAGCCAAGAGAGCATTGTAGAGGTCAAAATTGCATAAGTAGCTTACCAGCTCTGACAGAAGTGATGACCGGGAAAGCTGAAAAATATAGAAAATAGAAACCATCAGTTAATAGAAAATGCACATCATGTTCATAAGAAGTGCATAGCCATATAAGACGTAAAACTGAAATTACCACTTCTTTGCTCTCAGCTTTGCCTTCAACTTCAAATCCAATCAGATTAGCCACCCTTAAGCTCTGTTCTTTCACATTCTCAAGCTCAAAATGAGATGCACCATATGTCTGATCATATGGGGGCACCGAAAGTGCAGCTAAAACAACAGAGGATGCTATCAACTGTAAATCTTTCTGGCTTAAGTTTTTATTAAAGCTTTTTTGGAGTGAGAAAAGCTTGAGCCACGCATATGCATGATGGAGATGACTGGATGACGTCCAAAATATTTCAGTAAGCTTGGCATAGTAAACAACCATCAAAGATGGTTTAGGTGTTTTCTTAACTAGGCACATCAATCCATATATGTCTTCAATAGAACGAAAACCTTCCTGCAGAGTAAAGTTTAACGATAACAATCACAAACATAAATTTATGCTTGCTAGGATAGTAATAGTGAATAATTTTTTTAATACAAGAAATCTGTAAAATTGATATACTACACCATAGAAAATCATACAAACCTGCCATAGACAAAGTTCTGTGGCAACTTTTAGCTGTTCAAATCTTGTATCCAGATACAACTGCAAACTTTCTGGAGCAGACAGATCCGGGCGGTCCCTTTGATCTCTATACTTGTTGAGATTAACGAGATGGTTTCTTATGATTTCACACAGACGACGAAACTCTGTTGTGCGTTTGTACTGCTTGCAAAACTGGAAAGCACGGTGTGCAGTCATCTACAATCATAAAGTTAAGAAAACGGTCAAGTCTCTAGTGCATCATAAACAATAACTATGATGATATTTTAAGTTTAGAGCACACTATTCGCATGCAAAAGAGGTGCAAGTGATTGACGTGTTATATATATACCCCAACCCCGATGCACCAAAAATGCCTCCTTTGGCACAAATTTTGAAAGTAGCACAACTCCTGGAGCAGATTTATCTTATCGAGCACACAGCTTAAGATAACCACCAACAACCTGAGCTTATAGCCTATGGTAAGTCATATAAGACAGCAAAAAGCAAACTACAACATAAGACCCTAAAGTTACTTTTTCGGATTTTCTGATACCCTTTGTAATAGTAACTGTATTCCAAAAAACAATGAGCAAAAGATTTGAAGTCATGTTTACATATCAACTATTTTGATTATAGTGACTAGTAGCAGTGCAGGGGGGAACTTACAGCATACAAGGATTCAAGTCTAGAATTGTTTCGCAATATTTCCAGCACAGTTCTGTATGTTTCCCACAAGAATTTAAACCAGGGGGTAATAAGTTCACGATCAGATCTGTCTTTTCCTTTCTCTCCGCTAACAAAACTCAACATCAGATCTTCAGGCCTCTTATCAGCCTCCAAATCTTCCACATCCAAAGCTTCTTCGAGAGCTTGTGCCTGGTTGCGTGCCAATTCAGCTCTTTCAGAAGCAAGATGCATAAAATGTTTTATCACCTCCTCAAGAGAGTTAATGTTAACTTGCTGGCAGACAATTCGATATTGAATCAGACCATCCTTTGCAAACCTTCCCCTTCTCAAGTCAACACATAACTCTACATACTTGAACATTATTCTTTCATGCGTCTTTTGCCATGCCCTGTACCTCCTCGAGGTAATAAAATCATGAAGAACTTGAAGCGCTTCTTGCTTTTGCCCAACATTAATCAACTCTGCACCAACATATTAAACTCAGAACTATGCCAAATACAAGGAAATAAGAAGGCTTTAAATATCACGCATTGCCTTCAACAATGTTAGACTCACTTAAATGCATACCATGTATTCAATATGATACTGCATGTCATTACCATTAGTAAACAAATATCTAAATTGACTAGTTATTACTCTTAATCAAATAGGAATTATGAATTAGTTTGATAAATTTAAATATAACAAGATAACACTGCACCAAATTTTTATATTTTAAATTAACTTAACAAACCTTCAGCACGCTTCAAGGCATTTTCGGGCTTCGAAAAAGTAGCCATTTGCTGTAGAGGTCAGATCTCTAGTACCTACACAGCAGTGCATTATGAGAGACAACTAACACTAACAAACAACAACAAACCATTATCACAAAATAGTTTGAACTTATAAAACTATTTATTTTAAAAATCAAAATCCAAACCTTAAAAAATAAAAACCATTCCCTGCAAAAAAAAACCACATTATGTAGGACAACATTGATTACAAAACCATTTGCAGACAAGTTTCAACCTTTAAAATTGTATTAAAATTCCAAGATTCAAACTTTACAACGGCATTATCTCCAACCATTCGCCGGAAACTCCACAATATATAAATTTAAAAAGAAAAAAAAAAAAAAAAAACAGCATAGAATAAGAAGAAATTAACGCAATAACCTTACCCAAACAATAACTGAGCGAAATAGACGAAACGGCTCGGCGTAGAGAAGCTTATCTTAGTCGGAACCCTAGCGACGCCTTCTCCGGCAACCTTTTCTAACGATTGGTCCAAGTCGGAGATTATGAGTGCACTCCTGAACGCTTCACTGGTCGGCTGGTCGCTGAAGATACTAGGGTTAGCCGAGCTAGGGCGGTCTGACGAAACAGGAAACAGAACTATAGAAGGAAAGGACGTTTATATATCAGTTTGTAAACGTCGTCGTTTCGTGCTTTCTTTTCTCAAGAAAATTGTAGTTTAGCCCCTCAATTGTTGACAATTAGTCATATAAACCCGTCTTTTAATTTTTACAAGTATCACTCCAATATTTATTAGGACTAGTATTAGAATCCTAATACTCACCAAATTGCCAAATCAATGCTTCAACTAATGAAGTTTGGAAACGTCATTTGCGAGTAGGATTTTTTGAGGCGTTTTGATAGTTGTATATTTTTGTTTTTGGAATAAAATCTATCAATATTATATATATACTTCTATACTTATATATATAAAAATAAGGGAAAATGACACTTTTTACCCCTGAGTTATATACTTATAGCACTTTTTCCCCCTCAATTATTTAGGTAAGCACATTAGCCCCCTCAATTATTCTAAAAGTGGTGTTTTTTCCCCCTGATATATTAAATTGACATTTATACCCTTAAAGTAAACATTTTATATTTTACTACTCCAACAAATTATTGCGTATACGTGAGGATGACCACGGTTCGATTTGAATTGAACCGGATACTAAAGCAATCGAATTAATAGTTTACGGTTATAATTCAGATCTAGAACCCAATATTTAAATGTCAATTTATTAAACTTATGTATCAAAAAATTGAATCTTGAACCGTGAACCGGCGGTTCCGGATCTGATTCGCGGTTTTGAACCGTCTTTATTTTAAATTTTATTTTTTATTTTAAAATAGTCTAAATTCAACAATAAATGTATTTTTTTTTTCAGAACATGAACCGTCCGTTCCGGTTCACGATTTTAATAAACTCTAAATATCGAATTTCGATTCTAAATTGTAATTGGAATATTTCGGTTTGGTTGCTATAGTGTTTGTTTAGTTCGAACCAAATTATGGTCATAATTTGTTGGAGAAAAAAATAAATTAAATATTTAGTTTAAGGGTAAATATGTCCATTTAATATTTCAGGGGGAAAAACAGCCACTTCAATAACTTAGGGGGAAAAAATGCTATAGGTATATAATTCAGGGGGAAAAAGTGCCATTTTCCCTAAAAATAAAATTCTCTATTTTTACTTTCCGTCCAAAACAGCCTTATACTATTAAGATTTGTGAATATTGTAAAATAGTGTAATACAATTCCTAATATAATACGGAGTATATTGTTTCATACTGTCCTATTCTTACTACAATTCTAAATTAAAATTCATATTCTAATATTATAAAATAGTTTAATACAATTTCTAATAGACTATATAGTTTCATACTTTCCTATTGGTACTAAAATTCGTATTCGTAATACAATACAATAATATTAAAATTTATTTTTCTATTCAACAATATTATATTATTTCTTTTCTCGTTAAAAATTGTATTCTCCATTATTAGTTTTATAATTCTCCATTAATTATCTGTAAAATTTACTAAATTTCAAACTCCCGTTAAAACTTTACTGCTTGGCTGAATTATTGAGATTTAAATAAAAATTCCTTAATGCTTAATTCCCCGGTTGGGCAATCACATCAAAAAAACCTAATTCCATACAACACTCATAAACCCACTTAAAATCAAACTCAATCTCCCAACTCGTATTCAAACACTCTTAAATCACCTATAAATATAACCCAAAACCTAGCACTCCAACACTAAGACTGAAATAAAGGATTGCGGAAGAGCAATTTGGAGCTTGGCTTTGCAATTAGATAAAATTTATATTCTCACGTTTTTCTTTATCATACAAGCCTTAATATGCAAGGGTAAGAAAAATACTTGCAAAGAACAATACAACTGCAACGAATAAGGATAATTGACCGGTTCGTTAATAGTGGTATTTTCATCGTCCAATGAAAATCAATCATTCCTAAAGATTAATGCTCCATTCATGAACTATACTGGCGGTAGCTTTATATCGTCAACTGTTGCTGGAGATTGTTCATCGTTTCACTATTCTCACTGTATTTGCGTAAATTGAAAGAGAAAAGGCAAAAATGAAGGTTCACAGATGATTCAATGGATTAAATCCTTTATTGCATGGAGTGTACGGTTGCATATCCGCCACGTGGTTAATTACGCGCGCACTACCCACAACAAATACATACATACCTCTCTCTCTTTCTCTCTCTTTTTATATATATATATATATATATATATATATATATATATATACAACTCATTGTGGAGAGTGAACAATCTGGCAACATATATAATAATGTGAAAATCTCTTCAACATACACGTATACATATATATCATGTATAAGTTATTTAACATGCACAATTTTTAATTTCACCTCCTTTTTACTTTGTCATGTTTCCCCATAATAATAATAATAATAATAATAATAATAATAATAATAATAATAATTATTATTATTATTATTATTATTATTATTATTATTATTATTATTATTATTATTATTATTATTATTATTATTATTATTATTACTATTTTGTATTGACTTTCTCAACTTTGACATATCTACAAATCTAATAAGATCCAATAATGCTAGGCCCTTAACTGAAACAAAAAAAAAAAAAAAAATGTTAAGGGCGTGGCTCTGTTTGACAGAGCTTATTTAGGAGCTTATAGCTTATTTTAAGCTACTAATAAGCTATAAATTCTGTTTGCTAATGTTCCCAAAATAAGCTCGTAGCTTAAATAAGAGTTTATTTTGGAACGGTACCTAAAGTAGCGTTTCAAAATAAGCTAGGAGTTTCATAACTTTTTTTTTCTTTATCATTATTATTTTAAAGAAATAACATCTTTTACCCTTCTAAATTAAATCTTTTTCTCTTCTCCTGCAACTTTCACAGCAAATATTATTATTATTATTATTATTATTATTATTATTATTATTATTATTATTATTATTATTATTAGATGAAAAAGATTCGCAGCAATATTGTTATTTCATCATGGGATGCTAGATCATGATTTTGTTAATAGTTTTATTTCAAAATATTAATTTTTTAAAATACAAAAATGTTAAATTTTAATATGTAAACAAACTAATTTAAATGTTATGAAGATGTCCTTTTATATTTTTACATTTATCGTGTTATCAAAAAGCTAATTTTACCAAACACTTTAAAGCATAACAGCTAGCTTAATAGCTCTTCAGTTTTCAGCTCATAGCTTATAGCTTTTCAGCTAGGTTTGCCAAATATAGTCAGTGTAGTTGTTTCTTAAAACAAATGGTTCATATTATTTGGATTTTAATATTTTTTAATGATTTTTCTTATTTACCCTCTATTGTATTATTTTAAAATATATGTGTCTTTAATTAGATAGACTTAAGACAATTCCAGTAGACACATCTAAGGAATTGAGAAAATAAAGAGGAAATAATAAATAACAATAAATAGATATTTATAATATTAATATTTATAACAATTTTATTTTTACTTGGAACCGAAATAAGGATATCAAGGAAAATTTTGCTCTTTTATAAAAAATTTCAATTCAAAGTAATTTTTTGAGAAAATCCACTTTTAGACTGTCATCATACCTACTACAAAGAGATATTTACATATTAATTAATGTATTAAATAATTATTATATATGCTCATACTGAGATTTGAACACTTATAACATATTAAGTAACAAAGATTGCCTAGTACCACTTTACTATACACTCATCTTATCATCTCATAGCAAAGTATGATTAAATATAAATATATAATTATAAAATGATATTTGTAAAACATTTTACTTTTTTTTTTTAAACGTAAAACATGTTATTATGCGGACTACTAAATTATACTCCCTGGTGTGACAAGTATGATATGACATTTTTATTGTGTGGATCTAAAACAAGTTGTTTACATCAAAATTTTAAAAGTAAAGAATAAAAATTAAGAGTATATGTAATTTTTTTTATTTATGAGCACCCATTAAATGGAAATCACATAAAGAAAAAAAAAATATGAGAGAAGAAGTTAGAAGAGATAAAAAGAATTTTCCTTCTCATAATATGGGTTTTCTAACTCGAGTCTTATTAGACATGGGATACTCAGTTATTATACCATGGATCACGGTCCACTTTATCCTAAACAATCGTTATGCTGTGGAACCGTGTCCACCTTGTAAGGTGGACACGGTTCTATGTTCATAATTATTGAACTATATGTTTATAATTATAAAATTATATATTCATAATTTTTAAATTTTATATTCATAATTATTGAACTCTATATTCACAATTACAGAACTCTATGTTCATAATTATTGAACTATATGTTCATAATTATAAAGCTATATATTCATAATTTTTTAACTTCATATTCACAATTATTGAATCTCTATATTCATAATTACAGAATTATAGGTTCATAATTATGTTCCCTCTATGTTCATAATTTTTGAACTATATATTCATAATTATGAATAATTTTTGAACCGTGTTCACCTTGCAAGGTCGACACGGCTCCACAGCATAATTTGCCTATCCTAAATTGTGTATCTTTATTATTGGAATTGTGAACATTTAGAATATAAATTGTGTTTCTAAGTTTTGAGAATATTTTAATACAATACATGATCATCATAAATTGTAAATTTTTAAAAAGTAAATTGTGAACATTTAATATGTAAATTATGTTTCTTTAAACTCGGGTCCATAAGATAATTTGCCTGTGATAGTCCTTTGGGCGAACTGGAGCTTTTTAGGGGTCGTTTACTAACTTGGAAAAATGGAGGATTTTCCAGAAAAATGGAGAAATTGAGAAATGGAAAAATAAAAATTGGAGAAGTTGTTTACTAAAATTTTGCTTCCAAATGCCTACTCCTCCATTTTTCCACTTCATGTACAATTTTGGAGAAAGGAAATTTGGACTTCTCCAAATGGAAGGATGGGAGAAACACGGGTGAATAGTACTATTGCTCAAGTGGTCGTGAGTTCGAATCCTGCTGTGTGCGCTTGTTTCAGTTTTGTCTTCACTTCAGTTTTAGCCTTGCGCCATCATCATCATTCTTATTCTTATTTTCTTTATTATTATTATTTTTCTTATTCTACGTCTTATTATTATTATTATTACTATTATTATTATTATTATTATTATTATTCGTAGCTACTAAATTATTATTTAATTTAATAAGAGTAAAACTGAGTACTAATTATACCAATTTTGATTGGGATGAGGTATTGAGGTTCAAACCTAAGACCTTTTTAATGAAATCAATGAGTAAGTTAACGGTGAATTAACAAAAATTAACGAAAAAGATAATATTTAATGAAAAAGTTAACAAATAATCGTATTCATTATGGATAAATTAGGAAATCTCAAGGGAAAATTAAAATCTGATCAATCTGAGTCATATATTTGATTAAAATATTTAACCGTCATTTTTTCTACCCATTATAGGCCTAACTCTCTTGGATTCTTATTAGTATAGTAGATTATTATTATTCTTATTATTCTTATTCTTCTTCTTCTTCTTCTTCTTCTTCTTCTTCTTCTTCTTATTATTATTATTATTATTATTATTATTATTATTATTATTATTATTATTATCATTATTAGTTTTACCTTTTATTATTATTATTATTATTATTATTATTATTATTATTATTATTATTATTATTATTATTATTATTATTATTATTATCTTTGTTGTAGAAATGTAAAAATGTTATATGAGATAATTGTATTTAATAAAATCAAAAAATTAGATAAATGAAGAACTAGAGGAATGTGGGATGAAAATTGGAAAATTGGAGAAATAGAAAACTGGAAGAATGGAGAAGGAAAACTGGAGAAATGGAAAAATGGAAAACTGGAAATGGAAAAACAGAGAAACGAAGTAAACGACCCCTTAATAACTCCACCAATTTTGACCAATCCACTTGGGCCTCATTACTAGGCCTAGTTTCATTGGCCATAATATTCATTACCAATAACATTCTAACAGCAACGGTTGTTGAAATTCAATGCTTTTTTTAGTCAATGTATAATGTATCTCCTTTTAAATTTTAATCAATTTAGTCGTTGTACTTTCCTTTTAAATTTTAATCAATTTAGTCGTTGTACTTTAAAATTGATAAAAACAAATACAAAAACCAACCAGATTCAACTAACATTACAAATCGATTATGTGGCAGTGACTCACTATCATGTTATTAGTATATAACATGATAATTGTCAATATTTAAAAATATAAAATAAAAATACTAAGAGTGACTCCCGAAATATTGTAAAAAGAGTCCATAGGAAAGAAGTGATAAGAAGCCCTTCGGAAAATATTGACTGACACATGTAGGAGATGGATGGCAAAGGACGGGGAGGTCTCTATTAAGCAATGTTTATAGGGAACGAAATCATGTTGCGAACATAATGACCAAACTTACAGGGCAAAGGAATGCTAGATTTAGGAATTCGGTTTGGAGAGCCTCCCATTGAAATTATGAGACAACTTGATGAGGATGCCTAGGGTATTTCTACCACGAGATGGGGGGTTATCGTGTATTAGGAGATCGATTTCTGAATTATTTCTTCATTTTTATCTTAAAGAAAAAATCAAAATGTCAACATGATTTAAAAATAAAAAGACGGTGGAATTAGGTTTAATTTCTTTGTCATTCAATTGTTGATATTTTAGCTTAATTTTAAAAATATTGATGTAACAATGAATTGTTTTTTAATATATTATTATGCTGAAATCATTGGCATATCTAGACACTAGCCTCACTGGCATCTTTCAAGAATTATCCCTGTTCTAATCTTTCTATTTTCAAGAATTCATCTTGTTCTAAACTTCAATAATCATTCTCGTCGTTATTCCCTGTTTGGGCTCAGGCAAATCAGTCCAGCTATTGCTTTGTTGGATCACCATCTTTGTCAAGAAATTGGCTGCTTCATACTTATCCTTTTCTGCTTCATTTTTATGCCTTTTCAACTTGCAATTAGCTTTGGTTGTTGAACTCAAGGCTCAATGTGTTGAAGATTGAAAGGCTGGCAACTTGGAAAAGGACATAAAGCAGATACAAAATATAGAAACCAGGAATATGGACATAGTCCACATAGTCCAGTTTAATAGTGCCATTGTGGAGGGAATACAATCCAAGTCACACCCAATAACAAAACAAACTTCAATTTGTCCACACTGATAACCGAATCCACTCTTTATTTATTTACATCAGTAGGAACAAACTACTCACCGGGAAGGCCTCTCTCATGTAGCCTCTGCAACCGGGAAGTGCAACTTTGTTACGGAATTCTTCAGAAAACTACTTCCACAGAATGGATCTGGGCTGTTGATATCCAAATCAACGATGCCAGTTTGAAGCTCGCAGGAAGAAACCACTATGCTGTTGTCATCCAATGGATAGAAACCCCTCTTAGAACTCCCTCCATACTTTCGACCTTGCTTCTTGTCTTTCCCCTTGTTGGCTCGTGAAGATTTGCCACTGTTTTTCTGCTTATACTTCCCGTTCTTCTTGCCATCACTCCTGTGACGCTGCTGAGGTTTGTTAACTGGCGCATGTGACACTGATGTTGGAACTGGATCATACACGTCAGGCGCCCATTTCACTCCAAGTTTCATAGGAGGTATCCCCTGCTTCTCACGGCTACCCTTCATGGCAGATACAAGCTTTCTGGCACTCTGTCAAAGAGTGAAACAGGAAAAAGAGGGAAAAAAAAACAAGAATTGTCAAAAGACCAGTAATAACAAAACATCTTGATCTGGATACAGTCTCCATTTCTACAGCCATCGTGTGCATCTGGAACAGTTGACAGTTGTTCTTGCTCCAGTGCGTAATAACAAATGTGTAAATCTCAAACAAGGAACAGACTTGGTACTGAAGTGAAAAAAAAAAATGGAAGAGAATGTTTGCATGACAAATAAATGGGAATTATTAACATGGTTAATTTTATGGCATATAACATTACCCAAACCCAAGTGCACAAGGATCAAAGCAAAAAATCAAACGCAGCATGATTATCAGCAAATGTGTTAAGATAACAGTATCAAAGCATATGTATATATTGATGTGTCAGCATAAAGCAATGTGCCTAATAAATGAATATTCCTCCTTAGAATGTTGGAAGATAAAAAATCCACCGAAACTAAAACCAAATACATATCTCAGAAATACTAAAAACAAAGTAAATACTGTTATTACTTAACACAGCACGTATTCGTCATGGCCACCAACTATACAGGTATTCATGCTGCTATATTAACAAGACATGTATATAGCATTAGACTTGAGAAAGAAACACTAGCGTAAATTGACAACTGTTGCTGGTATGCATTAAGACTAAGCATAAGCACCATGCACAGGGACAGAGAACTTACTGGCAAAGATTTTGTGCGTGAAGGTGGCTGAGCAGATGTTGCATCACCATTAAGCCCCAGAGGTTCAGCAGTTACATCATTCATTTGCTCATTTTCTCTTTGAATTAAGTCATTGGGAGATACACTCTTACTCGAGAAAGGAAATGTTGCAGACTTGACAAGGCATTTTTTTGAAGCCAAACTGCTTGAGTGACTGTCGGAAGTATTTTCATATCCATCATCTTTTGACAAATTGTGTGCTGTCGTATCACTTAACTCTTGATCCTCCTGAATAATCACAAACTTACTAAAATGGTTCCCAAGATCATTCACATCAAAATCTGTTGCACTGTTGTCTGCAAAATCAGGGAGCTTCCCAGGCAACAGACCAAAGTGGCTTACATTTTCAGAAACTAACTTGTTACGAAAAGCACAAACGTCCATCAATCAGAGAGAGTGCTGAGAAGATCTGTCAAAGCAGGAAATGAATTAGTTCAGTGCTGCAATATTAAAGTGTGTTTGGCAGTACCAATAAGCTAGTTAGCTAACTGACTGGCAAAAAGCTAGCTTTTACCTTTTAAAGCCATTTGGTAAGCAAGCTTTAAAAAACAAAAAAAACAAAAAAAAAAAAACAAAAAATTAAGGCAGGTCATAAGAAGCTGCCCCAAGGTTTATGAGAAGCTGGATTTCAGTAACTCTTTCTTCTGATTTTTACTTTTGCTTTCTTGGATTAAAGACATCTCAATCATTAAAACAGGCCCTTCTAAGTTATTTTATATTCAACATCTACTTTTACCAAGCACCTTCAATTCAATCGGTCAGTTTCTAATAGTTAAAAGCACCTAGCTTCTAACAGCTACCTTATCAACTAGTTGGGCCAAACTGAGACATAGACAATTGAGATGCCAAGGAAACTGACACTTAAGCAAGTTTCAGCAGACAAAGAAATCAATTGTACTAATTACTAAAACTAATGGAATTATTCCAATTATCTTGTGTGTACAGACAGGTGTATCCATATGAGGTGCCCAAGACAACCCAAAAGATCAAAGAGTTCACAACCACTTGGTCCAATTTGTAACCTAATGCCCTAATCCAATATTATCCTGGAATGAGAGTCCAATGGTAATCTGTCACAATTAACTCAATACCACCAAAGGAAATGCATAATAGAGAGTTTGCCAAGTAAATGAAGCTATGAATGATTGGAAGAAACAAAGGGAAGCAAAATATTAAAAAGTTATTAAAAAGTTACCCCCCATTATTGGAAAAATGGATTTGCAAAGTAAAATGTACAACCCTAGAATCGAACCATGACATCTAACCAACACAAATTAACACATATACTCTTCAGTTTGTCTGTGGAATGAAAAGCCAAGATGTTGAAAAGCTATTAATAATTACATGATAAAGCTAGAAGTCCGCAATGAAATGTACAAGACATCACAACCAACGTGTATGATTCAAACATTACTTCCAGCAAAGCAACGTGTATGTATTTATGCAACGCAACAAAGAAGATGCAAACGCATACAGAGCGATAAAAAATACCCAAATTTACAAATGAGAAAACAGTTCAAAAGTTACCTTTTGACGACGTGTAAACCTAGTCAAAATCCTCCTTAAACGCGTGAAGAAATTCCAGAACCAATTCAACTATAAGCATAAACTAGACCAAAACCGAAGATCACTGAATTTTAAGACAGATTCAGCTACAATTCCCAGCCGTCAGAGAACAAAAGATAAAACAAAACCCTGAAAGGAAAGAACCGTCACACCGTAACTTCTAACAAAATCGGAAACGACAAAAGGTCAAGCAAACGTTAACTAAGACTACTATGCGGACGATTCTTCTCGAGAGGCTTCAGACGATGAGAACACAAAACACCATAGAAGCAGTTAGCGTAAGGACTGATTATGAACAGATCGATTAGCGTAGAAGGCACCGAATGCATTGTTCGGTTCGATGCCTACTATATTTCAGCCCTAAACGGAAACCCTACGATTCAAACCCCCTTTCAGCTCTCAAAACGATCGGTATCGATTCAGATAAATATGAAAATCAACCAATAGCGTAAAGCTCAGACGAACCGATCAACACTAACACTAACACTAACACAAACTGAACCAGAAGATCACGGCACGATCGGCATCGGAATCGAACAGACCATTAGACTCGTTGGAGCTTGAGGAAGAAGAATAGAAGATGGAGAATACGGATCGTACTCAACACGCATTATCCACAGGGAGGGCATTTTATAAACGGTGATGTTAGTCATATTGGGAAAAATATCATATCAATCCCTGAGGTTTATAATATTAATACATCAGCCACATTTTGTTTAAAATTTTACATCTAAATCCCTAAACTTTTAATTTGATTTGTATGCTCTAATTCATCAATTCAAAGTGCACTTTGGACACATCATGGTCTAACTAATAGGATATGTTTAGTTTATGGGTTTATACATCAATAATGGAATCAAAATTATAGTTAGTGTTTGGTTGACAACCTTTTTAAACACAATTATGAGATTTGATTACTCATCCAATTAAAAATCTCATTCCCTAATTTAAAATGAGTATCATTTTATCTTATTTGTAATATTTTTAAATTTGAATTAGTGTTTTTAGATTTTTTTATTCATATTGGTGATTTGGATGGATGTCATTCTATTATGATCAATTGTCTTAATTTTTTATTTTTGCATTTTTAAAATTTTTATTCTCATTATAGTACCATACATAATCAAACATCAATATTAGTAATCATTCCAATTTACTACTAAACATGCAAAATACATTCACCAAATTCATTACCAAGTATTGATTCTCATTCCAATTCGATTCTATTGTGCGAACCAAACACACCCGAAAAGGGAAGAGATTCACCTGAATGATGTTCTTCATAGCTTTCCCTTTGCCTTTTGGTGTGAAACTCCTAATATTGTCTTTTCAATCTTGGGTAATTCAACTCTTCAAAGGTGTAAGGATCACTTCTTTCACCCTTGCTCTAGTGTAAGGATAACTCTTTATATTGTTTTTTCAATTTAGAGTTTTAAAGAAACTGATGTTGTATATAGTGTGGTGAAGAATGGGGGAAAATGCGAATTTCGCGTAGCAAAAAACTGCAGATATTGAGCTTCTCAATGCGTCGAGGCCTTGACTCGTCGCGTCGAACCATTATAGAACAAAATCTAGAGCATTCTGCCAACACTCGACGCGTCAAGAATGCTCTACAACACAACTTCGACTTCCAAGTTGATTTTGGCCCTTTTAACTTCAGAATTTGACTTTGAGGTCTTCATAAGAGTTGTAGCCCTTTGAGTCTTCTTTCCGATTGAGTAAGAATCACTTAATTGGGACATTATTAGTATGAGATATTATCAAAATAAAAACATGTCAACATATTGAGCGGGAATTACAACTCTATGATCTTTTACTCCACTTTTGCCTTGTTTTGTTATTGTGATAAAATGCATTGAAAGTACCACTCTTTGGCCCTTGAAAGTATGTAAGTCACCTTATTAGCTTCACATTGACTTCCATTGACTTAAGATTCATTCAAAATGTCATAAAAGACGTATGATTATCTTCAATTCAACAGTTTATGCACCTAATAATATATACAAATGAACTAAAACACATTTTGCAAAAACCAAAGTATTTTTCACTCAATATATATATATATATATATATATATATATATATATATATATATATATATATAGGGTAGAAGCATGAATATGAATACACTTATCATTAACTATTTACATCACTTAAAATGTCATGCAGTTATAATTTTTCTACCAATAAATTTAGAATATCATTATCAACAGAACCATATGCTACCTTAATCTTTTCTCACAGTAATTTTTTTTTTATCCAAATCATAATATTTATTCCCTTATGGATTCAGTTAACAAATCTCAAGTTATTTATATAAATTGTTGGTAATATTTAGTTTAGTCTTAGTATATAAATTTATAAATTATATCACAATATTATTAAATATAAAATATTTAATTAAAAAATACAAAAAATTAAAGAAAGTAAATAAAAAAATAAAATTAATTTAACCATTAAATAGTAAACATATATGTAAAATGGGACCAAAGGTACTTCTTTTTGTTTTCCATTCTATTATGCACACTTTTTATTGAATTGTGTTTTTTTAGATATTAAGATTGTAATTAACATACATTTTTTAAGACAAGGAATTTCAAGTAAGAATGAAACCAAAATATATTTTATATTTAATATTAAATTAAGACTATTGAGATTTATATTTTAGAATATATTTCATAATGTTATATTGTTACGGTCATTAATTTTATGTTGAAAAAATAATAATATTAAAAAAATCCTCATATCACACGTTATTTGTAATATTTATTATTTTGATAGTCAATTTAATTCAAATTTGACTTAATTTTAAACAAACATATATTTAACTTCGCAAATTTTAAACTAAACATTATGTGTTCAAAATTTCCATTTTAGTAATTTTTAAAATATTTGTGTCATTTGAAACATTTGTAGGAATTAGTAGTATTTAAGATTTTAAGATATACAGAATTGCAATTAGCCTATAATATAAATATTAGGTATGATATGACATGTCCTACATTGAACAAAAAAATAGTTGGATTGCATTTGTACAAAGGAACGACAAAAGGGGGATTGATATTATCAAACAAATAGACAAAAGAGGATTGATATTACTTGGTCAATGATGGCGACTTTTGCAATGTCATTTTCAATTAATCAATCATCAATAATATTAATCTGACCGGCCTTGAGATATTTTTTGTCTAACATAATTATCTAGTTCAAATATTTACAATCTTATCCTTACACACTGTTTTATTTTTTTTATCAATTAAAATATTTTACCTTAATTAAAAAAAAAAACTATTTAGTAAAAGGCGAAAGAATAGGTCGCTTTGTGTTCACTTATCATGGCTGCTTAAAAAAAAAAAAAAAAAAAAAAAAAAAAAAAAAAAAAGCTATGCTACATACTCATAATTAATCAGTCTATAATGCGACAAAATTTTAAGCATTAGTAAAATTTAAATTAAAAAATAAATTAATGCATAAATTTTGCTACATCATGAGTGACTGATATGTAAGTGATAAAATTAAGAGCAATTAAGTTGGAATTATCTTGAAAATTACCTTCTGATGTGGAATTTATTTTTTATTTTTTATTTTTAGAGTGGGAGACTTAGTATTTTTAATTAAAAAATAAAAAGAAAATACATATAATATTACTTAAATTTAATAATTCAATATCTTTCCACTCCGACCTAATACAGGCTATACAGTGATGTAAGGATTAAATTATTCATTTTTTTTTTCTGTTTATAACTACTTTCTTAACCTAATGAAGTACAAAGAATTAATATCGCATCCGCTAAGGCTCAAATCCACAACCTCCCATATAAAGAAGTAATTTGATGTCATTGAACCACAATGTCCATGACGATGGAACCTTCTTTAAATACAAAAAAATATATTACACTATTAAATATCTTCTAAAAGATATATAGATAAATATGCAAGTTTTATTTTATAAAGTATGGATCAATAAAAGTGTAAGCCTAAAATAATCAATCTAAAATATCATTTTATATGTCTGATTCAGTTAACGAGGCTTGACTGGAGTTATTTTTAATTCAAATTTCATAATATAAGTATACAAAATTTATATATTTAGAAACTATACTAAAAGTACTATTAAAGAAAAAAAATCAAATTTAAAAAAAATTTAAAAAATACTAAAGAAAATAAACAAAGAAGAAATAATTGGTTTGACCAATGAATGATAAATAGAATAGATAAAATAGGACAAAGAGAGTATAAATTTGGGAAATGGAAAATGTTTAAATGTATAGTTTTATAAGGATTAAAGCTATCCAACAACATAGTGTGGCTGGGTATGTTCTTGGAAAAAGCCCGAAGATGGGGTGGTTAAATTGAATGTGGATGGTAGGTGTCACAGGATAATTGTATTTTGTATTTGAAACATGATAACAGTAGACACATAATATGTTCTTTTATACAAAAGAAAGAAGACTCCATTAGATGGGCAAATTATGTTGTGAAATTGAATCCACCTTGTAAGGTGGACACGGTTCCAATACTGTTTATAATTATGAATATATAATACAAAAATTATTAACATATAATTCTATAATTATGAATATAGAATTGTGAACATAAGTATGAACATATAATTCTGTAATTATAAATATAAAGATTCAATAATTGTGAATATGAAGTTCCAAAATTATAAATATATAGCTTTATAATTGATGCATAAATTTGTAATTGGGCTAAACTTATAGATTATTTGACACAAATAAATTATAAGGGCATCTTCAACCAAGGAGAACGAGAGGGGAGAAAGAGGAAGAAAGGAAGAGAAACATCAAAATCAAAATGGCTCAATCCTATTGATTCTTTAAAACTTTTGGTTGTTAAGCACAGAAGAAACATCACTTGGGTGCCAAACAGCAAAATATGAAAAATTATACATAGATGACAATGTGCATAAAACCACCTGACATGTAACATTGTTTGTATCAAATAACACCTTTATTGAAAGTTCATAGCATTGGCTTCAAGTTGTACAGAACACCTGCTAAAGTGCAGTTTCAGCTGCCCATGACAACAACCCAATACTCTGCTTACCATTCAATTAGAAATTATGGAAAATGCCATTTGAACAAAAAGGCGCTTCACCATGCAGCTGAGGGGAAAAGAGCAACCTCAATGTGAGCTTAGAGCAAGAACGCTTGCTGAGCACTTGGCAAACTTCTCAACTAGAACCTGTCCATTGTAGCAATCATAAATAAATCAAACCGGAAGTTAGATTTTTTTTTTTTTTCTCGCTTTATTTTTCTTTTAGAAAAGAAGGAATAAACAAGAAATGCCTATTAGATAACCAGATAATCTTCACCTTCAAGCAACAAATGCAACAATTTTACTATGTACATGTAAGTCAACTACTAGATGTATCAAACATGCTTACGGGAAGACAAGTATATGATAAATTGATAATTAAATACTTTTGACAGACACAAGCACACTCATTATGTTGCAAGGAATCGTTTGGCATTCTAAGTTATTGTATTATTATGTCAAGAAAATTATCTCAGAACAAAAGTGAGTTCATCTTTTGATCCTCTTTATATTTAAATAATCACAAGCACGCTCTATAATGTTATTAGGGATATACTGGTATCTATGTCAAGGAAAATAAATCAATAACAGTGAGACTATAGTTACATATTCTTCTTGAGATGAAACTAACAGCAAATTAATGGTTCAACGCTTGAGAAATGGCGTATAACCTTGCTTACCATGTAACTTTCCCTCTAATGTTGATGACTCCTAAACTTTTGAAGTAGTAGTTTCTTCATGCTGACAGGTAAGCGGATTTTAATTGAAAGTACAGTGAGATTTCTCCATTATGAGATCAAAGCATCACATAAATTATTCCATTTCATGTGACTTCATTTGTAACCTAAATTTTTTCTTGGTAACAACATTTATGATCCTCTTGGAGTGTGCAAAAGTATATTTAATTGGAGTTGTAAAGTCAATCACAAATCCAAAGCAATTACAGCTAGCTTTATCAGCAGGTCAAAACACAAAGAACATAAATTTAGAATGGACTAAAAGCCAAACCCATCCAGATTATGTTTTCAACCACCCTAACCACCAACCCATTCAGCTTCATTCCTGTAATTCAGATACCCAAATAATTTCCACCAAACTGAATGCCCACCACTAGGCCTATAAATTCCTAGATAATAAAGACTGAGAACATGATAATAACAGGAGGATGAGAGGTAAACTGCAACTTACTACAATATAAGTTGAATGATGACAATATCTGACATGTTGATGATATATTTAGCATTAAAGTTAAACGAGAGGAGATTGATATTGCATTTGTTAACTTCAACAACATAGAAAAGGTCCATGGTCAGTTATGTGAATGCTAAGAGATTCAGAGACCATTTTTACATGTAGAGCTAAACTATTTGAAATGAATTGAAAAACATGAGCTTGGGTTTCTAAGGATCACAAACCATTTACAAATGGTGGACTTGTCCACTATAACACAGAAAGCCCCTTCAAGATTCTCATGTGTACTCTCCTTAAGACGCTTTCAAGGTATTGATTATTAACAACCAAGATTGATAAGGACGAAGATACATGTAAAACTGTAAATACATAGCATGAAAGTGAAAAAGAGGCTGAGCCTAAGAAGTACAGAGTAAAATCGAGTTAATAGCCAATTTAGTCGTGGACCATAATTTAGTCCTAAAAGTCTTTTTGTGCTTAATTGGGTACTGAACTTTGATGGGTTTACCCAATTGAGTCCTTGGTTGGTAGAATCAATAACTAAATCGAGAAAAACCACTATAGTGGATGACTGAATTGGGTAAAACACTAAAACCACTATAGTTGAGGACTAAATTGGGTATTAATAGAGGGCAAATTACCAAGCTATCCTAACAGAGGTAAAACAAAAAGAAGTCAACAAAAAAACTTTTAGGACTAAATCAAGAAAAATCACTATAGATACTAAATTGGGTATTAACTTTAGTAAAATCTAGCAACATTCAAGTGATGCTCTATGAATGATAGGACCACCCTATCAGCAAAGCAATTGCTTCAGTGAAATATTGGTGACAAACAAAACGAAATCTGGCTAGTGTCATTCTACCTGTTTATCATATGTTGTCAATTAAAGTACTGAAAGTAAAGAAATACACACTTAAAAGACTTCACTATGATAACATAATCAGCAAATTCCAAAATCATAAAAACACCAAATTTAGAAAACATTTTAAGCTAAACACAGAGAACTCCGCATAAATGAATATTATCATAAAAAAACAATAGAGAAAGCGTGCCTGATTTAAAATTTGAAGATCCGGCATTGATATTCCTCCTAAGAATCCGAGCCTCAGAATTAGACTCTGCCGACTCTATCAACTCCTTCAAGCCCATATTCCCGACCTTCTCCACCTCCTTCTCTTCACTCTGCTTCTTCTTCATTGCCGGCTTAGCAGTGAGTCTCTCAAAATAATTCCCATATATGTACTCAGGATTGTACCCGTTTTCATCGTCAAACAGAATGATATGGCCGTGCCACTCCCAGACCCGATAATCCGAGTCCTCGTCCTCGTGAAACCCTACGCATATGTGATGCTCGCCGATTGTGACGGCCTGGCCGGAATTGGGCTTGAGAGAGTCGGTGTTGCCGCTGTGGATTGTGCGGATGATCTCCTTCTCGAGCTTGGATTCTTCTTTGGCGAGCTGGGATTTGTAGGAGGGTTCGACGTCGTCGTCGTCGTCATCATCCGGGTCGTCTGTTTGGTCGGAGAGGAGGTTGTTGAGGAGGAGGTCTTCGAGGGATTTGGCGGAGAGCAAAGCAGGGTTTGGAGGCGGTGAAGGGCGGATTTGGAGTCTGCCCATTAGGGATTGGAGGAGGAGGTTGTCGAAATTAGGAGTGGTGTTGAACGATGAATTCATGGTGGCGGTCGGCGGTCGGCGGTCGGCGGTCGGCGGTCGGCCACAGCGATGGTGGGATTGCAGGGGTTTAGGAGGTTTGGGGTTTTGGGGCTTCCAGAATAAAAAGAGGAAATTGGGACTTGAGACTAATTTTTTTCTCTCGTAAAGATAATGTATACGAAACAATTTCACTTTTGGTCCCTGAATTATTATACGTGTATTAAATTTAATTTTTAACTATTAATATTTTCAAATTAGATGAATTACTATGTACTTCGTAATATGTATTATATTTGGTCTTTGAGTATTAATATTTTCAAATTAAATGTATGACTTTGTAATGTATATCACATTTGATCGTACAATTCAATTTTTAAATTAGGTCGCCGTTAAAATTAAAATTCAAAATTACGTCGTTTAAGATCAGAATCCATGGTATAACGATTAAGAGAAAAAAGGGCATTGGCTAAAGACAAAAGGCGAGGTGTAGAAGTATTACAATCATGTCCAAATACTTTAATTCAATCTTATGACAATGCAACCTACTTTAGATCAACCCTCGAGTAGTAACCCATGATAATCAACCTAAGAAGTGGCTTCAGCTCAACTCCAAAGATTCAACAGAATGCATAATGAATGAACAAGAACATTGCAAACATGTTAGAGAATGTCATATTGACGAGTGACAACTATAATAGTCATGTCTGGATAGTGGGAATGATGCTTAATAATGGGTCAATTACTAATACTGGGCAATCCAATTATCGCGAAAGAGTTATAAATATATGGATTGCATTAGAAAAAATGATTAAAAGTTGAATATTATAATGCGACAATGACAAAGTTCATTTACGAATAATATAATCTTTTCTCATAATTTTTATTATTTTATTTATGAATGAATTATTTCGTACATACGAGGAACTCCCCTCGGCCAATGGTCACTCGACAGCAGCTCCGTCTTTGCTTAGGCGATCGAAGTGAGGGCGAACCACTATCTCTTGATTGATTTGATCAGACGCTTGTTTTTTTCTTTTTACCAATCAAGATAGTACTCTTTACAGTTCTGTTAGTCCACTAGAAATGAACCAGTACAGTAAATCAGTACAGCACTAGCACTAACTACAGTAGTAACCAGTACAATGAGTCAGATGTGAATCTTTATTCCAATATACTTAAAGAAAAGATACAAACAATAAAGACAGGTGATTATCAATATCTTGATTCTACTTCAAATGCAGGCAACATTGCTTCATAGCAAGTTACTCTCTTAGGGGAATCATCCTTGATCATTATGTGAAGCAAATAAAATAGCCAGCGAACTCTATGCTTGAAGTTACCACACTCGTTAGTAAAGTAAATCACTCATATTAATTCTATTACATTTTCATTGTCTAGTCACATTATTCATAACAAATTTCATTGGGAAGTTTCAATGCATAACAACTACTGAAACATAGTTGGAATATTCTTTGAAGACATACCAAGTTAGTGGATGATGATTGAGAAATACACAATTTTGTGTTGAATGTTTAAAAAAAAAAAAAAAAAAGGAATAGTTTTAGCTTTTGGTAGAAGTTTCAAGTTACTAATCATAAAAAGTGTTTAGAGAAACCTAAGCATACCAGGTGAGGGAGCAAAAACATAATTTTTCAAATATAACTGTACTATATTAACGGTTTTATTGAATCTCTGTCACAAACTAACATAAATTTAAGAGTTACTCTGTAATTATCAAAATAGTCTATTGACTATAGTAAAATTATCAATTTGGTATTTGACTATTTTTTTAATCATTTAAGTTTCTCAACTTTAAAAATCTTAACCAATTTAGTCATTTGTTTGTTTTGCCGTTAGGGTTCTATTAACTCGGGACAAAAATGATCATTTCACTATAGTCAATGAACTATTTTGGTAATTAACTTTTGAATTAATTTCACTTTTGGTCCCACGATTTTTGAGGTCTTATCAATTTTAGTGCACAACATTCAATTTTTGTAATTTTGGTGCCTATTTTTTTTTTTTTATCAGTTTTGATCCTTTAAGCCAAATTGATGGCGAAATGTTGCCGGATTTTATATTTCAATGACAAAATCGTTATCTCAAGGAAATATTTTCAATATCTAAACAAAAGAAAAATCATATTAAGAGAAAAAAAAAAAAGAGTTTGCCAATCATCGACGTTATAAATCCCATAAATCTATGATTTGTTTATGCCCGCCTTCTCATTATTCTCATCGATCAAACACATATAGATATGATTTTACAGTGTTTTTGTTTAGATATTGAAGACGTTTCCTTGATATCACGATTTTACCCTTAAAAATATAAAATTTGACAATATTTTGCTGTCAATTTGGTCGAAAGTACTAAAAATGATAAAAATAACAAAGTTAAGCAACAAAATTAAAAAATTCTAAAGTTGTGCACCGAAATGGTCCCTTGACTATAATAAAATTATCAATTTGGTAATGAGTTAACGAATGTCTAACGGCAAAACTAACGAAGGACTAAATTGGTTAAGATTTTTAAAGTTGAGAGACTTAATTGGTCAAAAAATAGTCAATGACGAAATTGATAATTTCACTATAGTCAATGGACTATTTTGATAATTAACTCTAAATTTAACAAGGGTCGTAAATATCATTTCGATATTACTTAAAAGTAGGGGTATAAATGAGCCGAGCGGCTTGCGAGCAGTTCGCGAGCTGCTCGGTCAAAGCTCGGCTCGAGCTCGGTCAAAATCGAGCTCGAGTCGAACTCGAGCGACTCGTTTAGTAAACGAGCCGAGCTCGAACTCAAATATTCTAAGCTCGTGACTCGTCGAGCCACTTGCGAGCCATAATTAAATAAATAAATAAATATATATATATATATATATATATATATATATATATATATATATATATATATATATATATATATATATATATATATATATGTATGTATATAACTTAAAACTCGCAAATTAGGAAAATCTTAAATCTTGAAGTTTGGACTTTTGAATTATTTTTAAGTTTTTTATGTATGAATAAAATAATATTTACTATTAATTAAAATATGAATTCAAATAGATCAAACTCGAGATTAAAATCGAGTCTGAACTCGAGCTCAAATCGAGATCGAGCTCGAGCTCGAACAATCGAGCTACTCGAGCCGAGCTCGGACTCTTGAGCTCGAACAATCGAGCTACTCGAGCCGAGCTCGAGCGGCTTGAAAAATTGTCAGCATTATTTTTTGAGCTCGATCGAGCTCGAGCTCGAACTCGAGCCGAACTATGCTTATCGAGCTCGAACCAACCCATGCTCAAGCTCGCCTCGGCTCGTTTACACCCCTACTTAAAAGAGACATATTTATTTAGCCTATATCTTGAATATCATGTGAGAGACAACACAAATATTAAAATTATTATTATTATTTGATTTTTATGTCTAATTACATTATTATAATTAATTGTCAAACATATACAGATATACTACACTATAAGACTATTGCAAAAATCAGTCTATGCGCCTCTAAACCGTGGCAATTTCCTCACTAGGTGCCCGCCTAGCGCCTAACTCGGCCTACTTGGCCGCCTAGCGTATAACTTGGCCGAGTTAACTCGTCTATTTCGATCGAGTTAACCCGGTCAGCTCGGCCTTGCTACTTTTTTTTTTCATTATATATATATATATATATATATATATATATATATATATATATATATATATATATATATATATATATATATATATATATATATATATATATATATATATATATATATATATATATATATATATATATATAGTGAAAGGTTCCCGTGCGGTTGAATGCTTCCCGTGCGGATGTGCGGTTGATTAATGTGCGTGAGATTTGTACTCAATGTGCGTGAGTGTTGTGCTTAATGTGCCTGAGTTTTGTACTTAATGTGCGTGAATGTGTAAAATGCAGCAGAAAATATTGATGTCAGCTTCTTCCCCATCCAGTAGCCATTGCCCCCTCCCTGATAATGATGAGCGGAGGCGGGCTATGGTGGTTAAGAATTATGGGAATAATACAACAGAAATCCACACTTAGCTGCTGTGCAAATTTTACTGTGCGTGCGTCATCTATATAAACATTCAACTGCACTGAAGGTAGCTGATAATCCAGAATCCATGGCCAAATTGAAGGAAGAAGTAACAAGAAGCTTGGGCGTTAATGTGCGTGAGTTTCTGTTCTGCTTCCTTCTGAGCTCGTAATTCTGAAATACTCAAGCACATTAAGCACAAATCTCACGCACATTAAACACAATACTCAGGCACATTAAGTACAAAACTCACGCATATTAACATGACGCACATTAAGTACAAATCTCAGACACATTGAGTACAAATTTCACGCACATTAAGTATAAACCTCATGCACATTAATCCACTGCACAACCGCACGGGAAGCCACAAATGCAATCCCTTCTCTATCTATCTATATATATATATATATATATATATATATATATATATATATATATATATATATATATATATATATATATATATATATATATATATATATATATATATATATATATATATATATATATATATATATATATATATATATAATATGACATATATACACCCATGTACTAGTTTGATAATTTGAATCGTTAGATGATTGAAGTAGTTGAGTATTTTTAATTTTTAATATTTTTTTGATGTTATGACTTATGAATTATCATTATTTCATTTATTTGGATGTGTTATTTGATTTAATGTTGAAAACATCTTCATTAAAATTGTCAAACTGCAAGTCTGCCACAATTTTGTTGGCTCCCGCCTAGGCGCTGCCCGGCCGCCCAACTAGCGCCTAGCAACTATGACGTCTGTAACAGAGTGAGTAGTATTAAAAAAAAAATTATTATAATTAATTAAATGGACAGTTTTACCTTTGTTTTTAAAATCAGCCATTTTTATTCGAAGTCTTTTTTTTTGAAACCTTATTCTAAGTCTTATATCCAATGTCAAAAGACAATTTTCAATCCTTTTGAAAGAAGGTTAAGAAGCAAATAGAAAAGTTCGATTATTAGAAGAAGAAAATAGGGAAAAACACATCCTACCGGTTCTGACGTTGACGGTTCTTTCTATTTGCTTTTATTTTATATTTTATTCATATTTTTTCTGACTTAATCATCCATTAGATAATTTAGATCTGGTTCATAATTATACTTTTTCTCTCATTTCTCTTTCTCACTCGTTCGTTTACGATCCGGTATGCTCAGACCATTGTTTGCTTCATTCCCATAATAATTATTATTATTTCTTTAAATTTCAGTTTTAGATATATTTCTTCATGCTCGAACAGTCGATCCTAAGTTATTCATCTTCAATTTTCAGTTTTGGGTTTTTTAATTTTTTTTTTCCAGCGTCAATTGTTCTACTTAATCATTATTAGCGGGATATCTGAGAAATCAAATGGCCGTTGCGCCCGCTAGAGCTCGAGCAGATTACGATTTTCTCATCAAGCTTCTCTTGATCGGCGACAGTGGTACGTTTTAAAAAAAAAAAAAAAAATTAATAAATACATATGTGTGTGTATTACCCGTTTCTTTTATTTTAAAATAAAATTTATACAGTATCCTCTTCTTCCTCATTATTGAAGGGTTAGTTCACCAACTTGATGATTAATGAGTATCTGGATCCATTTGTTTCTTCTTTGGGGAGTGATTTTAAAGTTAGTATCACCGGGGGGATTTTTCCTGGATAATTGAGTGCAAATGCAGGTGTCTTGAGGAGTTTGGGTTTAGTGTCTGAGAAAAGAAGTGTCTTTGATGCTTGAAGACTTGAGGGTGTAGTAGTATAAGTAGTAAGGTATCTGTTCAACACTTGAAAACTTATTGCTTTATTTTTGGGGTATATTTAAAAAAAAAAAAAAAAAAACTTAGTATAGCTGATGTGGATTTTGTATATTGAATTTCGTTCAAGAATAAACATGCATGGTTTTATGAGTTTGGGGCATGTAATTGTAACAACATTCACTCTTTACTCCTTAGTCCTTAGTACTCTCTTGTCTCATTTTATTAGTCAGGCATGTTTACTATTCATTGGTTAAACCTTTTTTTTTTTTTTGGTGATTATTTTCTTATAATTTTTAAATTTTTTGTGTGTTTAATAGTATTTTAAATGTAGTGTTTGAATATATAAATTTTATATACTAATACTGAACTTGATATTATAAAAAATTGAATTGTAAATAACTTCAATCAAGTCTTGTCAACTAAACTAGACATAAAAAAGGGCTAGATGGAGTATAACAAGTTCAGGTTTTAATTTTTTATTTATTTTTTAGCTCACATTTCCTCTATCTGTATCCTATGCTAAACAAAAATGTTATATGGAGAGCTTTATTTTATATTCTTGAGCATATATATATATATATATATATATATATATATATTTCATAAGTGGATAGTTATTAAATTAATGACACAATGAACCTAAAGGATTCAAAGGAATGTGAAACTAAGATGCATATATCTGAGATTTATGATAAGTAGCTTTGAATTCTGAAAAGAACCAACTAGGGATCTTTCAAAAAGATTAACTCATACTGTTCTTCAAGGTCCCAAAACATAATAGTGCTTCTTGTGACTGCAGCTTGTTCCCATGAGTCTACATGGAGGGTCTGGTAGTGACCATTAACTGTTAAATGATTAAAATTAGAAGAAAATTTTAAGAGTAGCAACGTTTTAAAACTTAATCAAAGAGAAAAAGGAAAAAATTACTTCCTCAAGACCCAAATCATATATGAAGTATCATGCTTTATTTTTAGAGTTATATTAACTACACTATAAGTTGAAATTTGGATCTCTTTGATTAAGTCTTAGATATTCTGCAAATTATGTAAAAGAAGCACTTTCTGCTTAAATCATAGGTTTCTAAGTTTTTTTTTAAAAAAAAACTATTATGAGGAGTTGTCGGTCTATATTTGTATTATGTTTAAAAATTATTTATTCATTTCCCATTTTGTATTTGAATTTTCAGGTGTGGGTAAGAGTTGCCTTCTTTTGCGTTTCTCAGATGGTTCTTTTACCACCAGTTTTATTACCACTATTGGGTATTTATTTTCATACTTATTCACTTTTGTCATTTATGCACCAAAATTCAAGAGTGAAAAGAGTAAATGTTAATTATCAAAATGTAAAATTCCTTTTGAGCAACAGGAAAAACTATGTTAAATAATCCATAGAAGGTTACTGAGGGTATATATATTAAAACATAAAAAAGAGAGTATTTTGATTTCTGATGTTTCTTCCCCGCAAACTGATTCTGAAGTTAAAACATTTCTTACAGCATTGATTTCAAGATAAGGACCATAGAGCTTGATGGAAAACGGATCAAACTTCAAATCTGGGATACTGCTGGTCAGGAGCGGTTCCGAACAATTACCACAGGTAAGCATGTACTCACTTTTGTTCCTCTTTATTAACATCTGACTAAGGTACTGCTTTATCTCCTGCATTTTAATTCAACACTTCTCGTTTTGCATCATCTCAATGGAGTTGCAAAGTGGAAACTGTTACTAGAAAAGATAATTTAAGCAGCAGTTGTTTTGATCTAGTATTGAAGACAAACTCTTCTTTATATGATTGGTTGCTTTTACATTCCTTACCATTCAATTATTCGCTATGTCACGTCACCGTTGAACAATCAATCAATTTTCGTGATTATATGTGTGTATGCATGTCTTTTGCATGGGCTAGAACAAAGATGTAACTGAGGTATTGGCATCAATGCATATTTGATCTGTAAAAGGACTCAAAATGTTCATTCTCTGAGTAGAGAGAGGGAGAGAGAGAGAGAGAGAGAGAGAGAGAGAGAGAGATAGAGAGGCCCTTCTGCTGATACGATATTACATGATGGACTACCATGCCCTTGTTTGTTTCAAATGATTTTGGATACTGCAACTAATATTAGTGAGTGAGGGCTATCATTTGTGGTTATTATAATTTTTAAGTTGGAAATGAGCCGTGCATCATTTGATGACCAAGAGTAACTTTCCTATTGGAGTTCAAAAGGGTACCTTGAATTCGGTTTACGGTTTAATAAACTATGGTGTATGGAGTACCTTCTTATTGAAGTTGTGTATATTCTCTGCGGTATATCTTTGGGTTTTTTTTGAATGGTGAGCTTTCCATTTCTACCTTTCAGAAGAAAAAGGAGAGTGAAAGCGTCCTCACACCTCAGTACTTGTGTTTTCTTTTCGGTGATAAATAAGTCAGCAAGTGCTTGAGATATGTGGGCTGCTTATTAATTTTAGTTATTCTGGAAGTTCTTTCGTATTCCCTATGGAAAAATAAATAAAATAAAAATTCTAGGCTTAATTGAGTTGAATTGGGTTACTTTACATCTTCTTCACCAATTACCACGGTTTTCTCTTTTATCTGCTAGGCTAACTTTTTTCTTTTATTTAACTGTTTGTCATCTTCTCATTGTATTTTTTTTTTCTCATATACAGCTTACTATCGTGGAGCCATGGGCATTTTGCTGGTCTATGACGTGACTGACGAGTCATCTTTTAACAGTAATTTACACCCTATGCTCTCAATGCATTTTGATTCTTGAATTTCAAATCTCTTGTATGCGTTAGCCCATAGTTCAATTATGTACCTTATAAATGATCTTTTAATCTCTTGCAAAGTTCCTCCATTCTCCAAAATTTTGTTAAGTTATTTGATTGACTTCTAATTGTTCTAATTACTGGAATTTTTGCATGCTTAGACATCAGGAACTGGATTCGAAACATTGAGCAGCATGCTTCAGATAACGTCAATAAAGTACTTGTCGGAAACAAGGCTGACATGGACGAAAGCAAAAGGGTGGTGCACCATTTCCTTATCAAGTCTATGCATATGATCATGATATCACACACACACACACACACACACACACACACGTTTTTCGTGATGCATGCTTTTCAGGTCATTGTTTGCCCTTTGCTATTCTATGAACCTCACACATACCTTCCTTTTCTAGGCTGTTCCTACTTCCAAGGGTCAAGCATTAGCTGATGAATATGGAATCAAATTCTTCGAGACAGTGAGTATTAGGAATTATTGCTGCTGGTGGCATTGAGTTATATTGTTGATAGTATTTGTTCTTAAATTAGATCTCGTTGCCAATTTATTCATGTAGAGTGCGAAGACCAATATGAATGTTGAGGAAGTTTTCTTTTCAATAGCTAGGGATATAAAGCAAAGACTTGCTGATCAGTCTGACTCAAAAGCTGAGGTACTAAATAGCTTCCAGAATTTCATTTTTGCCTCACTCCTATTATTCCCACTTCTTGAACTTATCAGCGTGACTTTGCCTAATCGATTGTGCAAATTATGCTGTGCAAACGTGTTCACCATGCACATGGTCAATGAACACAGGGGTAGATTCATAATTTCTATGCTGTAGAAATTATGAATCTACAGTACGGTATAGAAATTATGAATCTACAGTATAGATGTTATGAATCTACATTATAGATATTATGGATCTATAGCTTAGAAATTATGGATCTATCTTGTGTTCACCGGGCACATGGTGAATACGATTCCACAGCATAACTATTGACTCGATTGTCACCAGTCTTGTTGCATTTATTTTCTTTACCATGAAATGCAAGCAATGGGAAATTAATCAGAAGCTCTCTCTCTAACACTCTCTCATGGATGGGCACTCAAAATTTTCTTGTTTTTCTCTTTGGACATACTCTGTCAAATACTTTCGTGCCGTGTTTCTAAGAGATTTGTTTAATGTTTCCTAATCTTTTACTCGAAACATTCCAGTCTCAGACGATTAGGATTAATCAAGCAGATCAGGCGGACGGGGTGGCTACTGCTACTCAAAAATCAGCTTGCTGTGGTTCATAACTCTTAAGCAACTGGCTAGCATGGAAGATAGGATGGTAGGTGGGGGGTACATCCTCAGGGTGGAGGGAACTAATCTTGTTTGACATTTTTTTTTTTTTTAAAAAGAGAAAAATTTATTGTATTGTTGATTTAGCACCAAATTGTTTTGGATATCAAACATTATCATTATGTGGCAGATGTTAACTTTTGGGGAGGTATATAATATAATTATATAAAGCTAGGTTACAGTTCTTGCAAAATTGGAGATGCTAACAAACACAGCAGTATGAAAAATAGAAACAAAAAAAAATCATCAATTTGTGCCATGAAAGAAGACGGGAGGTCTACCCTCCTGAGGAATAAAATTAACCATGTCTAAAATCCTCATCAGACTGTCATAATTTACATCCACCAAATGCAATTTACATCAACAAAAATTTACCCAATTTCGCGAGGAAAAGGAGAGCTTGCAGTAGTTCTGGTAGCTCATGCACAACTTTGAAGATTAGTCCTGCAAATTTTTTTTTTAAAAAAACACACATTGTTCAGAACAACTCATTCTACTTTTCCAGGACAACATCAAGGTCAAAGAAGTAAAAGAATCAGACCCAACACATAAGATTGCAGTAGTTAAGATTGCTCCAGAATTCATGGAAATTTCAGTTGTTTAACATACCTCACTTTTTATTGTCACTATTTCAAGACAATAGTTTCCCTTCATCCTTCGCATATATCCTCTGAAGTTCACGTGTAGCAGCTAGAAAGGATTCTGAGGATAAAGAAAGAGCTTACTAATAGATGAAAAGCACAAACCATTTATATATACCATGAGAAAGGTATTTGAAGTATATAACAAAAATAAGTGATCACCGAACCTTTCCAAATACGAAAAGATTTTTGGTTAATAGGTGATCCACTGATTGTCTGGATAACTTCAAACAGCAAATCCTGACGTGTATTCCTGAGCTCTTGAACAATCCCATAAATTGTCTTCCCATTCTCAAAGTAAATGTGATTATTTGGGTGTTTTGTTTTACAACCAGCATGACGCTCAAACTCATATGCATTAATTGTCTACAGCATAAACAAGTATAGAACATCAATAAACAAAAAATGGACATACGAATCCTGATTTCAAAAAATAAAAATAAAAAATTGATAACTGATCGACCTTGGAGAAGATACAGGACTGACAGCCACAGAGATAACCGGTACCCTTTATAATGCCACGAAGCTCCTTCTACCATGTAATGAAAGACTTGTCAATCAATGAAATATCAATTTGAAGAACTGATTAGAAGTAAAATATACCTCCCGTGACCATGCAATGTACTTGACATGAACTCCATCAAATATACCAGTTGACAGTAAACTCCTAACATTTGAAGGGAAGCTGTTTGGAGCAGGCTTTTTATTTGCTTTTTGCTCATCCTTCTTAGTAACAGCTCCACCACTTGCAGTAATTAGGGAAGCATTTATAAGTTTATCGGCATTAGATTCAACCAACCCCTTTTCACACTGGTTTTCTGATCTTTTGCCAGATGACTGAGCCATCAATAAGTCATCATAGCTAGATAAGAGCCTACCAGATGCATTAACATCATCATCATTGTCAAATCCACCAAACGAAATGATATTGCCCTCTCTTCCAAAAGAGTGACCCACTGACAAACTATTGCCGTCAACTTCGTTATATGTTTGCATTAATGAAATTGCATTTTCATTTACCCTGCCATAACAGTTAGTAACATCCTTATCAAAAGAATGATTAACTGATAAATAACAATCTCTCTCCTTGAAGCTGTGGCTATCTGTCAATTCATTGGCGTTCATTTTATTAAGAGGTTGACTCATGGATATAAAACTACTATCTTCTCTATTAAAAGTGTCTCCCAGTGGCATCACATTGTCATCGACTCTATTGAAAGATAGTCCCATGGATACTGCGGTGCCATCTACCTTGCAAAAAGCATGATCTGTTGACACAGTACTGTTAACTCCCATGGTATAGTTATCATTCACCTGGCTGACTTTAACTTTTCTAATTCCTCCATAGTTTAGGCTCAATCGAGGATCCTCCAGGCCCTCAGCTATCGATAAACCAAATGAAGAATCAGTTGCAAAGGAATCCTCCACCGACTTTCTAGCCATACTCCTGCTGCCAAAGCCAATTGACATAACATTTCTATCATCATAATTAACAGGTCTTCCAATATCACCATCTAAAAGCCTCTCACTGTACTGCCCTGGTAGGGAGTGGAAACTGGAAGCATTCATCCACGGTGAGATGTTGGAATTTAAAAGTGCAGTAAATGAATGGTTGTTTGTCACATCAAAGGCTTGTTTCTTGTTGGGGAGTAACTCCGGCTCAATGCCATCCATGAACCACTGATGGGAACGCTTTGGCTCAACTGTCGAATTATTGTAAGCCATTGCGGGATCACTCTGTAAGAGAGACGTCCTTATTGCACAACAAAAAATTAACTAAAGTCACTATCACAGTTTAGATGCTATTGAAATTAAACGGCTGATTCTCAAATTCTATAAGGAAATCATGAATTTTTAACTTATTCCAGAATAATACACACACAGACACACACTTATGCATGCACAGGCACAAAAACAAACTAAAATTTATTATTTTCACAAACTTAAGTTCAATTCACGTAAAATTGAAAATTGAGGGGAAAATAATAAAACTTTGAATCAATGAATAAATTCTCAAAACACTCGTGATTCACCCTCAAATTCCCTAGGAAGAAACTATCTGAATGTTCTCTCCATCATACCAAAACTTAGCAAATTGGACTAACTCTCAAACATAAAGGATTTTCCCACAAATTCCCTAGGACGAAACTTCCCGAAAGTTTGTGTCTCTATCACGGACCACCTCTTCTGCCAGAACTCTTCCATAACCAACTATAATTTCGGATGTTAATATCTTTCCAGACAGAATCATAAAGGAAGAGTTAGAGGGTCAAATTTAGGCCTAATGTAAGGTTGAGAGCATCCTCCTTTCCATAAATGCTGCAGAAGTGTGTAGCAATGTGCACTGTATCTTCCTTCCATCATTGAATTCAAGAACACTTGGAATGTGGATCCTAACCAAAGATCAACTTGTTGATTTTGTGCGCTTAGGTAGTAGTTTATAAACAAAATTCACAATTAAACGTTTGGTGTTAATCCCAATTCCCTCCAATTCTCACAAAAGAATATAGCATCTGGCAATCAAAATGTAAATATTAACACATTCTTATTATAAGTTGATAGAAAAATCCAATTTCAGTAATCAAATTTCAAACTTCTAGAATTTTTAAGCATGTTTTACAAAGTAACCTTAGCAGTTTTCTTCTAAAACAATCACCCATCCCCAATTCTAATAACATCCAAACTACAATAGAGGTTACAACTATTGCTACGTTCTTTTAAGAGCTCAACAATTTCACTTTCCCTAGTAGTTTGAAAGTGTAGCATTTTTTGGAACAAAAAAACAAACAAAAACAAACAAACAAACAAAACAAAAGAATGCAAAATTTGCCCCGTTGCTTACTTCAACATCTGAATTAAATTATTCATTTGCGGGGGAAAACACTAACTTAAGCTCAATTCAATTGAGAACAAATAGCAAAAACGCTATAAAGTAGGACGAAGATCCCTAACCTTACAGTACTTTAGCTCGAAATTCAATGTTATACGCAGACATATACCGAAACGCAGCGAGAATGTACATGTACTTGTGGGCGAGGCGGTTCCCGCTACCGGAAAAACTTTGATCTCGAAATTTCAGGAGTTAACCGCCGGCGAGGAAGTGAAGCCCATGCGAGTGTACGGACAGTGAAGAGTGAGAGATTATAAGATGCAAAAGGAGATATACGATGGTGGACTGCACCTTGACGGATCAATGGCGTGAGATCTCACGCGTACACGAGAATCGAGTTGGGTTCATCTGCCCTAATTCAATGATGACGATAACGATGGATTGGATTAGTAAAGGGGCCCAAAGATCAGGTGGGTTGCATGGACCCACATAAATGATGCCTTCACGGCTTCACCTAAAATTGAAATCTCATTGTGGGCCATTGAAGCGGCAAAAGAATGTTGTTGACCACGGTTTAAAATGACGTTGTTTTGATGTCAAAAGAATTTTTGTGTGTATTAGAATAATGAATAATGAATATTTTAGATAAGATAATATATTTATGTGTTAGAATAATGAATATTTTGGATAAGATAATATATTTTATGTGTTAGAATAATGAAATTTTTGGAGTAAGATAATATATTTTATGAGTTAGAATATGATACTTTATGTGTTAAAATAATTTATTTAATCAATTATAATAATGTATAATGTACTTTATATGTTAAAATAAGGGTTAATTCCATTTTTAGTCTTAGATTTATAGGTGACAATTTACTTTAAGCCTTTTTGTATTAGAACATCCACTTTTGGTCTTAATATTATTTTGTCATGATCATTTTTGGTCTTTTATCAACAAAACAATTTAAATACCGTCAAATATACGGCCATTTTGGTCTTCAATTATGATTTTTTTCAAACAAATAAACATAAAAAAATATATTGGTTCAGCCTACTTTGTATTAAAAAAAATAATTTGAAATGCCTTTATATTTTATGATATTCAACAATTTTGTTGGATGATTACTAAAAATGGTCATCCAACAATAATACTATGACTAAATGGAGATGTTCTAATAAAATATGACTAAAAGTGGACTGACATATATAAATCTAGGACAAAAAATGAAATTAACTCTTAAAATAATGAAATTTTTGAAATAAGATAATGTATTTTATGAATTAAAATAATGTATTATATGTGTCAAAAACTCAAAATAATGTATTTTATAAGTTAAAATAATATACTTTATGTATTTTTAGATCATAGTTTCACAGTTGTGTGGACCGCAATCCACGCAATAATGATTACATCAAAGCACTCTTAGGCTTTCAACGGGCTAGGCCCACTTCTAAAATTGTCAACATGATGGACCCACCTCTAATTGTTTTTAGGAAAATACTTAGTGTACTTCCATTTTATACTCCCAACTTGTACTCCCTCACATGTGTTCTTGATGTAGACATTTTTCTGTGGACCCACATGTTAAAAATAACTAATCCTGACTTGCCACATCAGGGAGTACAAATGAGGGAGTAGAATTTGGGAGTTCAGGTAGTAGAACTCTTGTTTTTATCCAATTGTTGTATTATAGACCAGTGTCTACCTTACATTGAGAATCATGATAAAAAATTTATGTGTCTGTAATTAACATATTATGTGTCTTCAATTTATTTACAAACACATAATTTGTTAAATGTAGACACACATAATATATTAACGGATACATAATCTAAATAGACGTTTTTTGTACATTCCTGAAAATTTAAAATGTGGGGAAATTATTCTCACATTTGGTGCAATATTGAACTTTGGAAAGTTCGGACCTATGGGAATCACATTCTATTATATCAAGGAAAGTAAATCGCACATATGGATATGGTAGATAAATTTTTATTTTTTTTTTCGTTAGTGTATGAAATTTTACCAAATTTATTCATGAGTAAATACCTAAAATGGTCCATCGACTATAGCTAAATTCACAAATTGGTCCTCGACTTTCAATTTCAACCAATTAAGTCCTTAACTTTGCAATTTTGACACGATTTGGTCCTCCATCTATTTGACCGTTTGTTGACCGTGATCGACGATTTCCAGAAGAACCTTCAGCTCTCGTCGAAGCACGTCGAGGCCTCCAGGATGACGTTGCACCGGCTCGGAAACATGTCGTCTTCTTCGCTCTGGTACGAACTCAACTACATTGGATCCAAAGGAAGGATGAAGAAAGGAGACCGGATTTGGTAGATTGCTTTCGGCAATGGATTCGAATGTAACAGTGCGGTCTGAAAATACAACTGGAACCTTAAAAAGCCGACGATGGACCATGAAATTACATATATATCCTAAAAAATCACAGTCAACAAACAGTCAAATAGACAGAAGACCAAATTGTGTTAAAATTACAAAGTTAAGGACTTAATTGGTTGAAATTGAAAGTCGATGACCAATTTATGAATTTAGCTATAGTCGAGGGACCATTTTAGATATTTACTCTTTATTCATTTATATATTTATCATTTTAGCATCAAATTAAAAGTCTCTTATGAATCAAAAAAATTATCTCTTCAGGTAATATAATTATTAGGTCTGATTTTAATGGATGGAAAATTTCCAAACGAATTTGTTTTAAGATTGTTTTTTTTTTTTTTTTTTTTGATATAACAGAGAATGAATGAATAAATTAAAATAGATAACAAATTATATAAAATTGAACCGGGCAAAAAGATGTGTGAATAACAAAGGTTGCACAACCCTGCGGAGGACTGCAAACGTGATTGCAAAATTGTGGTTGATTGCTGCGATATTTCGGCTACTGCAATAACAACAATAACCAAACACGTTAAATGGAACTGATTGGTTGTCGTAATTAATTATGACCATTCTTTCTTGTAGTTTAGCATTTGCAAGAACAAACAATCCTCAATTTGTTTTTTTTTTAGCAATATTTGTGGGTCAAAATTTTGTTTTCAAAGTGTAATTATTTTATATAAAAATAATAAATTTTCAAAAAAAAATATATAAAAATAATAATAATAGATATTTCGGGCCTAGCCCAAGATCGACCCACGAGAGGCACGGTCTCAGGCCAAAGACTGGTTCGGATAAGCTCGACATGGGACCGGCCTAGGGTAAGTTTGGCACGGGACTAACCCAGAATAAGCCCGACACAAGATCAGACCAATCATTTTAAGATAATAATAAAATGTACATTTTAATTAAAGCAATATAAATTCAGAATAGAAAATTACAATTTATACTACAACAAAATAAGGTAAAGTTTGATTTGAACCTATAAAAACAATGTATTTTTAAAATAATTATAGTATAAGGTTCATATTCTTTTAGAATAAAAATTCAAGAAACAATGGGAGCAACACGGGCAATTATTATTGTGTGGACCATGGTCCACACAAGTTGTGAGGACCATATTTTGTCTACTGTAAAATAATGTAAACTCAGTACACAAATAATGTACATTGTATTCAGGGGATGTACATTATTTTTGTTCTGAGTGTGCATTATATTGTATAATATACATTCAATACAAAAATAATGTACATTTAATATATTAACAATGTACTTTTTGTTATGGTCCATATAACATTGTAGGGACCATGGTCCATACAAGACACGTGTGGGTGCAATGTAACCAGTGCGCGCGGAGTGAGGCCAAAAAAGGAAATATTAAGAAAACAATAATTTTACTTTTTTTAATGGTGGCAATAAACAAGCAAATATTATATTATATATTACTCCGTATATATTTATATATATTATATTCAAAATAATAACTGGGCTTAAATCTAGCAAAAATTTGAGAACAAATCTCGGAGATCAAACCGTCTACACCTTAATTATTTCTTATTATCTCCGGGGTCTGATCGGATCGGATCGGAGAAGAAGAAGGAGTATATATGGGGGTTTTGGCATGCGTAGCAGTGATTTCACCCTTCCCATTCTACTATTGGCTATGGAGGTATCCCCAGACATGGGTGGATCTTTGCGGAAAAGGGCGAGACCCATCTCACGTGATGGCCATGGTGTCTCACGTGCTGAAGCTGCTGCAGTTCGCCGCTATTCTCTCGGTATCCACGTTTTCATGGCCGCCGCCTCTCTACTTCTGGCCGCTTTTCCTCTCCGGCCAGTTCCTCAACCTGAGGGTATACCAATTGTTGGGGGAGTCTGGGACATATTACGGTGTGAGGTTCGGGAAGAACAACATTCCCTGGGTGACGCAGTTTCCGTTCGGAGTAATTAAGGATCCCCAGTATGTCGGCAGCAGTTTAAGCCTTGTGGGTTGTCTGTGTTGGGTTCCCTATCCATATGTTCTGCTTTGGATCCTCGGATATGTTTTTATGATTCGCGTAGAAGCTAAGGAAGATCCGGATTCTCGTGCCAAGCCCATGAGTTAGCAGATCGGAGAGACAAGAATTTATGATAATGATGAAGAGAAGAGCCTCTGATCTAAAGCACAACCAGGCTTGTTCTTTAATTTGTGTTGTTTAATGTTTTGGGCTTTTCCTAATCCTTGTCTTGAAAGTCATGTATGATTTATGATTGTGGTATGTTAGTTATGGTTTTAGCAGTTGATACTCAAATCTAAATCACTCATCTCTATTGCACTTTAAATGCCAAAGAGGCATCTGGAACTATCTATCATTTTCATTGCAATGGTCCAATGGAGACAAAGACGGGGAGGAGTTTTTTTTTTTTTTTTTTTTTAATTAATTAATCATTGAATTAAATTAAAAATAATACTCTCTATATGATTCTTGATTAAGCTACGATAGATTATAATTTTTTTTTTTTTTTGTAGAGCAAAAATTTTGATTTGATTACCTTTGTTTCACACCCTCGAAGAAGACGGTGATAAAGTGTTTCCTTATTTGTATTGAGTTTTAGGTTTCTTACACAAGATTCAGGTTTTTTATCTAATGCTATAAAGTTGATTAGATTAGAAGATTGTTTTCAATTCAGTTGCCAAAAGATAAATGTTACAATACTAAAGGAGTTAGGAAAGGTAAATCTTTCCTAACTAATAGACTAGTTTAAGTCAATCAATCTAACACCACACAATTATTAACCTATTACAATAAGAAAATAATAATAAGAATAATATCATTATTAACAATTTCAATATAAGGAGAATAACTTGTTAAATTCTTACATTAACATGAGGGTTTTTAAGTTTTTCGTCATGTTGAGACATATCCTTTAACTTTGAAGACAAATGACCACTTCCCTTATAGGGTGTGTTTGGTTGGTGGGTTTTGTCCATAGGAATGGGTATGAAAGTGATTGTTGTTGTTTGGTTGATAGGTTTTTAGAACACTACTATGGGTTTCGAATACCCCATCAATTGTAAAACTCATACCCAAATAAAATAAGGGTTTCATTCCCTTATTCATTCTCAAGCACTTCTATTGGTAACCATTCTCATTCCACCCTACTACCAAACATGTTAAATACTTTCACCAAAACCCATTACCATTACCAAGTATTTGATACCCATTCCAATTCCGATTCCCATGTGCGAACCAAACACACCCATAGTTGTGTTAAAAATGGATACATGTTATAAATATATATATTAAATGAACATTATTAATGTAACAGATGTAACGATCTGTCTCAATTCACCCGTTAGGAACTGACGGACACAATTACAACAATACAATTATAATTGAGTCATTTTTAAGGATATAACTTCCATCCAACCAAACACCCCATATATGTTAGTCTCCCATAAAAGTACGTGCCACCATCTTCAACATCAACATACCATCATGAGTAACCAGTGAATAATCAACATATGCTGATAACAACTATCATTGTATCATCGAATCCTTACAAAACTGTGGATTACATGATCAAAGATGGATATAATTAAAGTTAGTGACAACCCCATTGTTAGTTTCTTGATTCCCTAAAATTCCTTTTTTGAACTAAACAACCACCCAAAGGAAAGATGAGACAAGGAAAAGTTAATTCCTTTTGTTCTGCAATTCTGCAAAAGCCCAGAATCCAATAATAATGCATCAAACCAATCAACAAGCCTTCAACACGCATGGCCTTAGATGCCCTCTGTAGTCCTCCTTCCCCAAAACCCATGCTTTTCATTATTAGCACCCGTGCCATGAACCCCATCATTATTCAAACCATTATAATGAATGGCACTGTCAGGGCTAATCAACCACCACCACGAAGCCGCCAACACGCTCCCGATTCTCGTGTTGGAGATTTATATAGTAAATGTATGTTTTCAAGCTGTGGCTGAGAACCTCCTCGGGGCGCATTGTATGCAGCTTTGTGTCCTGGCGGGGAGGAAGAGCGGTTGTGCTTCGCGTTTGGGCACGCATGTCGAAACGGTGCTCGTGTTCTTGTTGTTGAGGTTTAGTTGTGATGAGAAAACTGAGTAGACTGGCCTGTGGTCTGAGAACTTTGATTCCCCTCTAACATAACAATTTTGCTTTACTCCTTCCCCTTTCCACAATATCCTGTCACACCTGTCATGTTTTTTCCAATGTTGTTTGAGAAAAACTATGTTTTTTTTTTGGGTGAAAAACAGAAGTCCAGCACCAAGTGGCTAGGAAATGGTGAGGTGGTCAAGTCTGTTGACCCATTAATGTGCAATCCAACTATCAGTTTAAGCTTTTAGTTGAGATGGAACACATGCTTTAATTTGGTATCAGAGCCAAACCAAATGACCAATAACTTTTGGCGTAATGGTAAAAGTTTGATTGTAACAAGGAGTATAAGAGCTAGTGGCGAACATGATTCTTGATGAACTTACCAAGCAGGGGTTCTTCTTTTGTCCTTGGATGCAGAAGTTTGGACAGCATAATTGTCAGAGTTTGCCAGATATTTGTATGTTGGAGCAAAACATATCCTTCCTTCATTCCAACCTTGGAATATTCGGCCTGCCTTTTGTTCTATCCTTAGCTGCAACACAAGAAGAAAACATTATTATACTTCACAAAAACATTTCTTGAATTTCCTCAAATCTGAACACTAATCATTGAGTTATTCCTCACCTGATCTTTCTCCAGAAGTGGCTGCCAGTCGTTCGTTTTGAGCAGTTCAAAGATTGTGTCCTCGCAGGTAGATGCAAGCCGGTAGTTTAAATCCCCGAGCCAAATTACCTTGCTAGATAGATTGGGACACAAGGAAAAATAATGTTAGAATTGATCAAAACTGATTGGCAAAATATTTTATTGTCTATCCAATCTTGAAGTGTTTCGTGTTACTCACTCGTGATCCAAAATGTTATCAGGTGGAACTAGTTTCCCCCTAATGCTGCTCGAGTTATAAAACCGGGTTCTCTTCAAAATCTCGATGACATCTGAGTTTCTTTTGAACTCGTCGCCTTCTTTCTCCCCCGAGGCCAAGTGGGTGCAGACGAAGCAAAACGTTGTCTGGTGCAATGTCATGCTGATAGATACTGAACCCTGCAATCAAGTTAACAATGTTCAAACATGAATCAATTGAGGCAAAAAAAAAATGGCATTAAAAGTGGTGAAAAAACAACCTTACCTTGTTACCAAGGTATCCCATAATGCCTCTCCCAACACACGAAACCTTTAAACTGCTAATATGTTGATACAGGTCGGAGCGAACCCACACGCAAAGAAACAGCCCTACCATTTGCTTGCTTGCTGCTAAGCAGAATCGACTTCGCTCTGAATCTTCATCAATAGTGTAAGAATCTGAATTCGTGCTAAAGAATCTTCCCGAGCCTTCGTTTTTGAGTTCATTTTCTATGGAGAGCAGATCAGAGAAGCTGGGTCTTGGTTTTAGGCCAGTCTGGTGTTGCAGTTCATGCAGGAGGGGTGATTCTGAAGTTTTTTGCTGGGAATTTGGGGTGTGAGTGTAATTAGGGGAAATTTCTGGGTCAGTTTTGGTGTTTAAAGCTTGTCGAATCAAAGACAGCCACTTGGCAGCTGGGCCACTGTCTTCTGCCCCTAGTACATTTCCTGCATTCAGTGGGACAATTTCCTGGAACCTGGAAGGAATTATGATAATTTTATTGAGCATATAATATAACATAAACATAAATATGCAATTCAACTATCAACTTAAACTTTTAGTTGAGATGAAACACATGTTTCAATTTGATATCAGAGCCATGCCAAAAGTCATGATTGGAATCTCCGAAATATTTAATATTTTAAAATCTCAAACTTTAATTACTTTAAATGGTGGGAATCTTAATTAGGTGGGATTAGATATGTAATGATTTGTAATTAATGTGGGGAAAATAAAACTAGATCATACCCAAGCACATATATGTCAGCTGGAGGAGGGGACTTTATCCATTCCATTAAGTTCAATCCATCATGGGGTGTCTTGCCTCCAACATTCCATGTCCCCACAAACATCCTTATAATTCACAAAAACAATTAGGTAGTGAGAGAGATGAATGGAGCACCACTATTTGGTCACAAAACAAAAACCAACAACACAATAAAACAAGATTTAGAGTTATAAATTCCAAATAATTAATAGGCCAATGCCAAATATCTTGTGTTCAAGCGGTATAATTGTGATTCTTCAAAATAAGAGGCTAACTGTCAAAGACCTAAGTTTAAATAACTTTTCTAAAATTATTGTTCTTCGACAACTCAACAATTTCAAATTTATTTATAAATTTATCATTTAACCTGTTATTGAAAAATTGAATACTTCTTATGTTTCACTTTACTCGTTTTACTTATTATTCATTGATCAAACATTTTTTTTGGTTTATTATTTTGTTAACAGAACCAAATAATAAAATGAGATAGATTTAGTAAATCAGAAATAATGATTAAAAATTACAAATATTGTCATAGAGAATAAATCAGAAGTTAAATAAACTCAATTATATATATATATATATATATATATATATATATATATATATATAAAATATAACTCATATTTATTTTATAAAAATACAAACTTAACCACCCTATATTGGAAATTGAAAAAAATAATTTGCTCATTAATTATAAAAGTGAAGTGTGTAAATAAGAACTTTGGTACCACATGATAATTTGTTACTTCACATGGGGAAAAGGGATTTTTTAAGTCAATGATTTAAGCACTAAGCACCCTAAAATATTCATAATAAATCCAAATTATTATTCTCCCTATTTCAAGATCTAATCATGAAATAAACATGGGTATGCTTCAATTAACGAGAAATTTAATTAATTAATCCATTAATAAATAACAAAAATTCACAAATGTCACTGCCTTACCTTAGCTCTTCCGTAGCCGAAGATTCTTCCTCCTCGAATCTCGTCCGTCCAATTCCATCGCTCGATTCAATCAACCACATGTCTGGTGATCATAATTAATACACGGTTAATATGTTATAATGAATTTAATGATTGTTGAACATATAATATATATATATATATATATATATATATATATATATATATATATATATAAATGTGCAATTCAATTATCAGTTTAGACTTTTAGTTGGGATGGAACAGATATTTTTATATAAATAACTTATAAATTAAATTTTTAGTACAAGAATCATAGTATCAAATTGGGCACATGACAATTTTTAGTACGAGAATCATAGTATCAAATCGGGCACATGACAAGTAGAGTGGGGTATAAAGCATAGTAATATTTCCTTCATCTACGTGGCGGACAGAGAGGTAGATCATTTATAGAAACAACCCAACGGGACCCACAAAACTTTCTGATTCTCTCATTTTTGCAATTGCTCCCTCTCTGATGTCCAATCACATAATGAACCGTACGAAAGTTCTAAAGAACCGCCGAGAAACTCACCTGATAATTCCTCCGGCACGACGGCGCGGCCGCTCTCGTCGGAGCAGCTCTTCCTTCTCCGTTCAATCCCGGCTGACAAAAATTTTAACCAATACAAATTCTCAGAAATAATCAAACATTCACTAAAAAACAATAACACTCAGTGTACTTAACTCAAAAACAAAAAAAAAAAAAAGAGATTTACCGTTTATGGTGTAATCTGAATGGAACTCATCGGCGCCGCTCTGTATATTCAACCACTTCTTAACCACCGCTTTGGTCCAAGAAGAAGACTGCAATAAATGGCAAGAACCCATCTTTACAGACATAAAAAAAAAAAAAATAAAAAAATAAAGCCATTTGTATACAAAGATGCATAACCATCAAAGAACCCACCTTGGAAATCTTGCGTTCTTGTTTCATGGCGGCCAATGAAGCTGGAAAAACGGAGAGCAAATAAGTTCCAAGAAAGCAGGGGATCCCAGAAAGAATAACAGATGCAATAATGATGATTCGAGGTAAAATAAAGACAGAAAATTTTCCCAAATTTTTTTTTAAAAAAATGGCAAAAGAGCAGAGACTTACATGGAAGTATGGGGAGCTAGGTAGCTTTGTTGTTGGGTACAAAGAAGGGCTTTTAATCTTAGCCTTTTGTGTTGGGAAATTTTCACTTTTTCCCCTTTTCGATTATTCTGTAGAGAGAGAGAGAGAGGGAACTGGGGTGTTAAAGACTTTAAGCTAAGTTGCAGTGATTATGATGATTATTATGAGATGGGGTTGTATGTATAGGTGAGGCCTGAGGGGGATGGAAAAGGAAGAGACTTTTATGTATTTATACAATGATGAAAGAGATTGGAGATTTTGGGAAATGGGTGCGTGACTGCGTGGACTTGCGAGATAGGATTCATTCATTTTTGAATACAACTTTACATTGTGGCTGTCTTTGAGACAAGTAATTAAAAATTTGATAAAAAGTGGATAATAATATTTTTAGTCAATTATAATTGTGGTACTATTCTAGCTTGCATATAAATGAAGGGATCCAAGAGATTAGTGCAGATCATGTGTTCATTTACTCATCTAATTATTTAATTTCTTTTCCATTATTCTTAATATGACAGATTTGATTTCTTGTGCTGCTTAAAAAGTGGTGATTTGAGTCATCTAAGAATCAAATGTGTAATTTTAATCAATTGAAAGACAAAATATATATTGATAGATTTTTTTTTTTAATCATAAATGGAGGGAGTCAGTTTAAGAAAAAAAAAACTTAGATACTATCAACTGTAATATTTTAGTTCAAGGGACAATGAACCTATCTTCATCAAAATTATGTAGGATAGGGACTAAGAGTATCACTGACATTGATTTTTCTTAGGTTATTAACTTGCGTGGAGGTATGAGAGACTGATATGGCAATGAAATAATTTTTTTCCCTCAACGACGCCAGTATAAGAATTATGTTCAAAGTGGACAAATTCTTTGTGCGCACCGACATTTAGCCTTATCTAATGAGCCATTGAATCACCGTGATTTACACCCTCCAAATCTCTGTCATATCCAAGTGTGGGGCCTTAGAATTAGAGATTTAACTTTTTGAGAATGACACTAACATTTTTTTTCCTCTCAGCAACCTTCCCTAGGAAAATCTCATGCCAAAAACTCAAAGAGATGCTCAAACAAACATCAATCATGCTAAAGGGAGAGACTTGCAAGAATATTGGCAAGTTTCTTTTGCTTTAAGAAAAATGTTATTTTACCTTAAATAAAAATTCAATGTTAATGGTTAAAAGTTTTTTTTTTTAAAACTTTTAGTAAAACTAATTGCAGTAAACTAATATCTAAAAAATATTTTATTTTTTTTTGAAGGTAAAAAGGTACATATATTAATCAACCAAAGTCGAAACAAACGCAGGAGGAATATCCTCCCACACCATAGAATTTGCTAGAGAATAGGCTGTCTGGGTTAACGAATGAGCTAAAACATTTGACGTACGGGGAATGTAAATAATAGAACAAGAAACTGAAAGACTCATCAAGTCCCGACATGCTCAACAAGAGCGATTCTCCATCGCTGAAGTAGCAAGGGTGTGACAAAGGTTCAAACAATCTGATCGAAGCACAACCTCCGTAGCCCCGCGTTCCCTTAGCCAGGATAGGGCTTCCTTACACGCAATGTGAATTCAAATTATATCCATTGCTTTTGTCCTTTGACAAAATTAATAATATGGTAATAATTAATATATGATATTTTTCAAATTGTATCTATTTTCTTCAAAATATATAGAATTTTGACATGTATAATTTGATTGGGTTAAAATAATTTTTAAAATAATTTTTATTTTTATTAATAATTTTAATAGACTTTAATATTGGATTCAAATCTTTGTATGTGTGCACACGTGTAGAAATTCGGTGTGTGTTTATGGGGTGGGTGGGTGAATTCAAATAAGAACAACCCCTCCTAAAAAAAATTATGAGATCAATTTTATAATTATTGTAAATTTAAAAATTTGTAATATTTATAAAATTAATCCCTTCATTTTTTTTTTCTCTTTTAGTAATCATCGACCATTGATCTATACAAATAGATGAATTAGATATGTCTTCACTTTTTACCTGTAAGTCTATTTTCATTTGAACCCTTTAATTATGTATATAGGTACACTCACAAGAGAACCTGTTCTTAGGAAAAAAATAATAATTAAAAATCAATATTAGGCATTTGTCTATAAAAATTGGACGGATTAGAACTTTTTTTTTTAAGTGATGTTAATTTGCTTTTTTTTTTTTTTTTTTTTTTTTTTTTTTTGCAATTTCAAAAATACACTTCCTGTATTCTTGGATAAACCCTAATTCTTAAAAAAAAAAAAACTAAATTATAAACAAAAACCATATAAGAGAGATAATAAATTAAAAATCGAGGACAAGAGACTTTATATTTTTATTACAAAGAGATTAATTTATTACTCAATAAAATTATAACAATTAAAATAGTAACAATAATATTGTATTACTTTCATTGATCTTTATATTTTTTTATATTAAAATAATAAATCTTTCTAATTACCATTCATCCAAATTATGCAGGGCGAAGACAGCAATAAGTGGGTTGAAATGTTATTCAAAGACGCTGCAGCATGACTATTGTTCGATTCGGATTTTGAACTATCGATTCGCGGTTTTGAAAATTAATAAATTAAAATTAGCGGTTTCAATTTTAATCGTCAATTCAATTCTTTCTCTCTTGTTTTTTTTTTTTTTTTTTTTTTTGGGGGGGGGGTAAGTTCTGTTTTTTTTTTTTTTTTTTAAATAGTTAAAATTCAATAATTAATTTTGTTTTTCTGATTTGAAACTGAAACCGATCGATTTCGAACCAAAACCGATGGTTCGGACTCTCAATTTTAATAAGCAAAGTTTCAGTTATAAATCACAACCGAAATCATCCCTACAATTTCAATTATAATTCAGTTACAATGGTATTTGATTCAATTCAAATTGAATCTTGATCATTTCTTATATTTTTTTGGAATAAGGGTCAAATAGGCCACTAAACTGCACACGAGAATGCAATTAGGCCACTGAACCTAAAAAACCTACAATTGGGTCCCTAAACTAACCAATTTCATTCAATTTGTCCATTTTTCAGGTTTCTCAACAGGTTACCCCTCCACCTAGGATGCATATGTGGCATTTAAAAAAAAATATTTTTAAATTAATTTTTTAATATTTAATAAATAAAAACTAAAATAATTTATTTTTAAATTAGTTTTTTAATGTTTAATAAATAAAAACTACAATAACATTTTTTTTTTGAAAATAAAATCTAAGCCCCTGTACGATATTTTATTTATAAAAAAAAACAAATTATTTTAGTTTTAATTTATTAAACATTAAAAAAATAATTTAAAAATAAATTATTTTAGTTTTTATTTATTAAATATTAAAAAACTAATTTAAAAATACATTATTTTTTTTTAAAAATGCCACATATGCATCCTAGGTGGAGGGTTAACCTGTTAGTAACTTGAGAAACTTGAAAAATGGACAAATTGAATGAAATTGGTTAGTTTAGGGACCTAATTGTAGGTTTTTTAGGTTCAGTGGCCTAATTGCATTTTCGTGTGCAGTTCAGTGGCCTATTTGACCCTTATTCCTATTTTTTTTAAAGTTTTAAAGGGCCATAGTCAAAAGTAAAACTGAAAGATAAGAGGTGGTCGTACATTTGCTTACCTCATTGTGTTGACTAATGACTACAGTTGAAAGTGTAGTGCTCGCGGGGGATAATTTGTCTTTTATTAAAATGCAATTAATGCTAATGCTAGTTTTAGTTAAAAACTGATATTAATATCACATAATCACGTGCCTTCAACTGTTTCAAAAACTTAAAATTAACAACAAAATAAAAAGGCTAACCAAACATGTATGTTCCCCGTTGGTTCATGTAGTTAGAGGCAAGAAATTGTATTAAAAGTCATAAGCATTTATAATATAATTTATCATCTTTATTGAGTTCATAATAAAATCCAAAATGCATTTGTATTAAAAAAAAAATTATTAGCTATTTTCATTTGTAGTTTTTGTTTGGGTTGTTCTATATTATTAAGTATTGGACTTGGAATGTGGGTTGGAAGAAGACGTTAGGATAATTTAGAGAAGTCGTTGGTAATAGATTAGTATGGACATGGATAACAACCACTACGTCAAAAGTTATATATAATAATGAAGATGTAACTTTTTTTTAAAAAAAATATTTATGTAGCTATCAGTATCATGTTTCGATGACAAAATGATAGACTCAGCTCCCCCAGTCTCTACCCAATAGGTGTGAAAGTCTATCTCAATACCGGTCGAGTTGGATCAATATGCAAATGTAATACTTATACTAGTAAATGTAATACTAAATCAAGAATAAAATATATATTACTTATATGAAAAAATGTAATACTTTTATATTTTGATATATAAGTATTACTTTTTTCATAAAAAAATATTATATTTTGATGAAAAAGTAATACATTTACATCAAAATATAAAAATATTATATTTGTTCTCAAAGGTATTACATTTTTCCATATTAAGTAATAAATTTTTATTTTTGATTTAGTACTACATTTACTGGTATAAGTATTGCATTTTATTTGACTCGACTCGCCTAACAGACCATAATCATTGAGATGGTCACAAACAAGTTTTTGCCTTTTATTTTACATTAGTCATGAATAAGACTTTATATGTGGAAACTCAAGATTTGTTGTTATTTTTTCTTTTTCTTTTCTTTTTTTTTTTTTTAAAAAAAAGTTAAATTCATTAAATATTTGAATTTTAGTTTAGTACGTATTTTCACTAAAACTTGTTTCGATTATTACTCTATTATTTAATTTCAATTTAAGAATAATGTTCAAATTAACCACTAAACGTAATTTAAAAATACAATTAAATCACTGAACGAAAAAAATACAATTAAATCACTGAACACTCTAAAAACGTATAATATCATGTTGGAATCAAATGCGGGCCTCCTAAAAAGGGTTCGTATAGTGCAGTACGTACTCTTTATAAAAGCATTCCAAAATAATTTATAATTTTGACATAGATTTGCTATTGCTCCTAGAAATAAAGGTTAAAAAAAAATATAGTAACTTTACACATTTTTTTTTATATAGTAAAACTCGCAACTTATTTAAAAATATACAAAAGATATATGTACTGAATAAATTATGTCATGTAGTTTTAACTGACAAATAACTACAATGAGATAAATCAATATAAATTGTTTATA